TTTTTTTTTATCTCTGAACAACTTTTTCTACTTTAGGAAAGTTCATTTTTCGATTTTCTCGAGAATTTTCTCAATAGATTTGAAAAACCGGTAAAAAACGGGAAAAAGTACTAATGTACATATTGAAACACATGAAAATATTACGGCCTATTTTGCTTGTATACAACTTTTCTGTCAGCAATTTTACTCCAATTTACAATGATAGCACTTTTTCTAAAAAAAAAAAAAGACTGGGTAAGTACTTTAGAGATAGGGGCCGAGTGGCCGGTCTAGAAATGGGAATTTTCTAGACGGCCTGGACCATATTATGGTCCGGTGACCTGTTCATTTTATATGGGTAGCATAATTCTTACTCGTATTATTTAAAAATATAGTAAATATTTTTTGTATTATTTCGATAGACTGTTCAAATATTATACTATTATTAACGTATCTGTCATTTCGAATACAATGTATGAACAAGCATTGAATACAAAATTTCATAATGTTATTTAACTACAAAAACGTTGATTCTATATAGAAACAGTGGCATGCGTCGACTGACTATAGAAATAGAAAAAATAAAAAGTTTGAAATCAATGATAAACCACCAATTGGAGAATCAGAAAAAAAAATTGATTGGATAATAATGGTATTGAAATTTACAAAAATAGTATTGAATACTATTATTAAAAGTATATGTACAATATTAAAAATTAAAATACTAACGATTTGTTGATTGACTTACCTATCTGCATTATCGCCATCAAATTCAATTTATATAAAACTGGACTATCAACTGATTCTTTTGTAAAATTAACTCAAAATGAGGTAATTTATAAAATATAAATTATTATTATAAAACATGTTGACGTTCTTGTTTCGGTTTTCCCCCATTATTTAGAAAATTAAGGTAAATAAAAATAACAATCTTCCTTAAGCACTAACAAGACAAAGTTGTCAGCTTGAAACCACTCTTAAAGTCGATGCAAAGCGAAAACTATTTCAACATAGGTACATAGGTATATATTATAGTAGTAAAATTAAGTAGCATCATTCAGGGCTTAAAAATTCATTAAACCATTTACTGTGAATATAACATTAATTTTAACTACTAAACTGATTTATTAATAAGTTTCATTGTTACAACTAAAGTTAAATTATTTAGTTCAACAAAACAGAGCTTGAAATTATTTTAAACTGTGTTAAAAGCTTAAGGTATTTAACTAAACTTTTTTTTATACACATATTACATTATTATTGAAAATGTAGTATTATGGGTTGAAATTAAAATGTTGAATTCGAGCGTAATGAGGAAAATTTGATTGGTACGTACTTTATTAAGTGGTCTAGATACATTTCAACCTTCTGGCCTCAATTTTGTTCCCACTCCGCCCCTGTTTGGAGAGGTCATTTTTTGATTTTCTCGGGAATTTTTCTAACACATGGGAAAACCGGGAAAAACGTAGTAAAACCGGGAAAATAGGTAAAACATTAAACAAATATTATTAAAGAAAATATATTGCATATGTAATTATTTTATCATAATATGACATATGTAAATTTTTGAAAAAGCAACACTATCAACTGAAATCCGCTCAGAATTATTTTTTCGTTGGCAATGGTCTATCTTTACTTTCAGATATACATTTACTTTCCATCTACAACAGTAGCTCCAATCACGTGTAAAGTATGTCCGTCTTTTTTTAGTTAAACTTTGCATCTAATTTTTTGAAAATGTTTGATTTCCGTCAACCCGATGACGCGATATTTCACTTTTAAATTTAAGTCCCCCTATAGTATTGGAGCACTAATAAAACGCCGCTCGCCGTGTTACCACACAAATGATACTTCACTCTCCTCCTACATAAACTTAAAAGTGAAATATCTCGTAAACGGACTGACAGAAATCAAACATTTTGACACCAGCATTTATTTAATGTAATATTCTAACTATTTATGAAATAAACCGTACGCCGCCAACCAGCTACTACAGCACGCCGTCTAGCAGCCGCCCGCACCGTCCACGGACATCGCTACCACAAAGAACACCTAAAGTACGGATTCACCACCGTCCCACGGCTTCGCCGTATTTATACACGCGCTCCGTGAAAAAGCGACTGTCTTCCTCATCTATCACCTTATGCGTATGTCACGATTATGTTATAATTTGAGTGACTACTGAAGAATGTATAAACCCATCGTTATATTTTATTATTACTCGTTGTCAGTTAATAAAACGGAATCCTCCTAGTTTTAACTAATATTATAGTAATACATTTGTTATTACGGATATGATTGACAAATGATAGAACTTAACAGTGCATAATATCTTTCCAAATTGGTAAAAATAAAATGTTTAGTTATGTTCAAATAATAATAATGCATGTTGAATAAAATTCTGTATCAGATTAATTAATAATTAGGCCGGTACTTTTGTACTTTCCCGGGTAGAAATCTCTCCTCAATCCGCCCCTGGCTACTGCCCACCACTTTTTGTTCACTTAAATTTACTATAGTAACCGGTTTCCTTTTAGCCGCAATGCCAATACAGTTGTGTTTCAGTTTTAATGTGGATAAAATTGTTTGATTGAAGAAGCTGCTCATGTTGTAAAAGAGGGAACCTTCATGGACTACAGCTGTAAATCGCAAAAGCTGCTGCTTGTGTTGTAGAAGAGGATGCCGTCGTGGCAGACCGCACCGATGTATAACTAGGGTCACTACCCATCCAGGTTTTACCCGGATAATCATGTACTATGTGTATGCATGTACCTATAAACATCATAAATATTGTAACCAAGCCCGGATTAATGGAAGTCTAGGGAGGGTCATAGCCCCCGAGCCACCAGATTCCCAAGGCCTCAGTTTTTGCCACAGTATATTATGAAATAGAAAATAGGTATTCATATAAGTAAGGCAGAAAAAGCATTTTCGCATTGGCAAAACTCTCTCAAGAAAGACCAAAGTAAGACTATACGTTGCAATAATAAGACATAACATTAACATACGGCTGTGAAGCATGAAACAAACTTAAAGAAGGCTTAGAACTTTTGATAATAAGACAATTATTGTGAGTTGAAAAAACAAATGACAAAAATATTATGAACTACATGTGAACTAAATCAAAAAGGATTAGGAACAGTTGAAAGTTATTTTTGGCATGAAGGAGAAGCCAAAAGAAAAGCATCTGAAATAGGAACTTACATATTAAAATCCGTGAAAAAAAATCCGAACTTACAAACTCAAATGATCTAGAAATTACGCTTTACTCAGACAATTGTGGAAGACAAGGGAAAAATAAATGCATAATCACAGCCTACATGTATGCTGTTAAGTATTACAAAATAAAAAGTTTAACCAATAAATTTCTTATTGTCAGACATGGACAGAATGAGGGAGATTCCAGCCACTCAATAATTGAGAAAACAATTAAAAGACTATAAAGAATGGACCTATTTACGTTTTTGCACATTATTCAGCAATAATAGGCAATACCAAAAAGACGGGAAATAAATTTCACATCAACTCAATCAATCAAATCATTAGAACCAGCTTATCAAACACATGTTGATATAACGAAAACAAAATTTGACGACTTACAAAGTTTAATAAATGATTAATCTATTCCTTCTGCCCATAATTACTACTACAGAAGTTTGTGTCCTGAGTAAGAGTTACGACTATTGTGTTCACATATAATTACTTTTATTTTACATTTTATTGTATATTACCTGTTTGTGATCTCAAAAAAAAGTTGTTACTAGTTAAATACATAGGTTTTTATTGGTTATACTATTTTAATAATTTTATTTGAAAATTTATCTCGAATTGAAGAATAAAACATGTTATATATAAAAGTTTTAAGTGTTTAAAAATGAATTAGTTATTTAATTTGAATATTATATTTTTGTTTTTATTTTAATATTAAAGAAATAAGAGTTTTCACTATTGTGTGTAAACATAATTACTTTAATCTTATTTTATGTTTATAATTTTTTATTGGTTACAGTTTTTAATTATTTCATTTGAAAATTTATCTTTGTAAAAACGTCAAGTTAAAAGTCTTAAAAAGAGTTGAGTTTGAAATTACCAAATGTATTTTGTCTGTATACTTAGCAAATAAATTTTGAAAATGTATTTGTTTTTATTTTTTATACAAAACTTTAAATATTCCTGTGCATAAACCTAAAACATGTTTAAAATGTAAAAAATGTTTTAAAAGTTATGCAAAAGTGTACTCTCACAAAAAAAAATTCAAAGAATTGATGTATAAATTTAAATCTGGTTGTATCTTAAAAAGTAAAATAAAATAAGAATATATAAGAAAGACAAAATTAATTATTGTTAAACATCAATTTACAATGCACAATTGAAAATTTTGCTAATTTTCAAACAGGATTATCTCGAAAGTCCATTCTTGGAGTTAGGTCACTAGTTTTCAGCAGAATTAGTTTATTAAATTAATAAATAAAACAATGTAGACTTGTATACCAGTTTAAATAGTTTTATAAGGCAAACTGTTCAAAATAATTGTAATATTGAAATATGTTAAAGGTATATTAATATTTATTGAAATTCAATTGACACGATGATTGACATTATTATCATAGTTAACATAGACAGTAACTAGTGATATGAAAAATACTGTGCCCTAGCACATAAAAAATGAACTAAGCTACTTATATTTAATTATGATCTTAGATACCGATATGGGATACACATTTATCAATATAGTTATTTATTATTAATTTTTTATCCTAAATGAAATTTTTTTGTTTTGTATCTTAAAATAAATTTCACTACAACTTATAAAAGAGAAAAAAAATACGCCACTGTCCTCTGAAAATATGGGGTTGCCACATCTTGCCCTCCCCCCAATTATGACCATGAATGGCTGCCTCTCAAGATATGTTCTATATAATCTATATTAGATTATAAACAATAATTGATAAATAATATAATAAACTCTAGTCTATACTTTATACTTTTCTATACATTTCTTACTATACAAATAAAATGACACAGAGATATTATTCCCATTCAAAAGGATTGAATGAAAGATAATAAAATAACTAGAATTCAGACACACTATGCAAACTACTTTATTGATTTTGCTTGACATATTATTATAATTAATATTTTTACTAATAATAATAATTAACATAGATATGACACTTTGGCCTTTTAAAATATTTGTCTAAGTCAAATTACTAACACAATAAATTGGCTCTTAAAAAAATTTAAAATTCCATTTAAGGTTTTCAAAAGAATACAATAAACATAAATAATATGATGGTATATATTATAATTACATAACTGGTGAAATTAAATAGATAAAACAAAAAAAAAAAAACACAATAATTTATCTTATAAAATTGTAATATACATAAAAGCCATATAGAAAGTACACATCCTCAAATAATTAATATTTTGACAAAGGGTCTACATACTAATAAGGTCGATTTTAAGAGAGTAATATATGTTTAGGAGAACTTCATATTATGATCTTAAATTAAACTTAAATTATAATATATCATAATAGTATATATAAATTTATGTATGTAAAAAATGTCCACAATAAATAGTTATGTATAACAAAAATATTGAAGTCAGGAACATAAAAGCACTTAAAACTATTTTTTTTTTTATCTAACAATACAAAACTTTCATAGCAATACACGTAGATTTGTATAGAATAAATATTTTTATTTTACATTGATGTAATTATATTTTGGAAGAATTTCTTACATTTACTACTGAGTTTTGTTCAAAATCATAGTTTTTCACACTCCTCTCACAATTATTCAGTTCAACCAACAAATAATTAAAGTTAAATGAATTATGTTTCATTAAAAACATGAATGTGTACAACTCAGAATAGCTACTATAATTTGGATTCCAAAAAAAAAAAAATGAGCCCTCATCAATAGTAAATATAAGTCTCCTTCAAACAATAATTAGTTATTTTACAAAAGTATTGATTATTTATATTGTTAATTTCATTAAATACAAACAATCATTGCACATTAATATTTTCAAATTAACTTATTTTAATCAGAATTTTAACTGTTTTAAGAAATATATTAAAAATTCAAATAACACCAATTAATTTTGTGTATAAAACTTCAAATCTAAACCTTATAATATGACTGGATTTATTTTCATTCAAACAAGGACCAAAAATTGCAATGTTTTAATAATATTAATACAAATCAATAGGTATGTAAGAAAAGATATGTGAGCCCCACTTAATAATATTCAAGTAAAAACCAATATAATAACACTAAGTCTAAAATAATGAATATCAGTTATTGGCACATAAATTATTATCTCCAAATATTGTGTGCATTTAATTGTACGTAAAATAATGAGTGTATAATATGTGTATTATGATGGATAAAATATTATATATGTATGTAAAACTTACATTTTAAAAACTACAACATCCTTATTACCTAAATATAATAATATAAAAAATGGTTTTGTGTCCCAAATGCGGAAAATAATTAAAATTACCTCATAATAAAAACAAATAATTACATTGAATATATATTAGATTAATTTTCTAAATAAAAAATTTAAATTTAAAAAAATGAGTAAAAAGTATCATATTGCATTACACCCAAGAATCACCTCCTTGAGTGGTGGATACATCAACAGATGATATTTCAGGTTGACTTGGTTGATTATAATTCCACAACATTTCACCCATAGAGCAAGATGAATCGTATGGTTTCTTTTTTTTCTCACGGTTAACTTGAGCATATAGAGGTTCACCGGATCGTAATGGCTAAACATTTTATAAATATTTGAAATCAAGTTTATTTTTTTTTTTTGAACACTATAAAAGTTAGCCCCTAAATAATATTATGTTCTAGGTTTTTGCAAAAAAACAATAGAATATTACAAATATAAATAATGTTAGCCTATTGATAATTTAAAACAATAATTATTAATCAATTACAATTTATTAATTAAATACTATTTTATTATTAATATCAAAATAGTTTGTTACTAAAATATAGTTTTACATGCTTCAAATTAATTTTAAATTTCAGTATACTTTTGTCAAAACACTATTAAATTGTATATTGGTGTACAGCAAACCATATTATGTCAAATATGAAAATACTAGATTATATTAAATCCACTTACATGCCCCGGGGGATAAATTAACACCCCTGCAGCTGGAGCTGTATGGGTAGACATTTCTGGATATGGCATATCAGCTAATGGGATATCTTCATTCTGAAAACATCAAGTGTATATAAATACCAGGACATAAATTTAGATTTAAATGTCCTTACACCCAAAAATTAAATAAATTACTGAAATACAACAGTAAATCAATCAGTTAATTTAATTTTCATTTTATTTGTGTGTTACCTATCCTATTTATAATATTATAGCAGAATAATAATTAAACTATTGCATCTCTATAGGTATATGTTTCATATTATGATCAATGTGTTGAAGACATTTTTAAAGGCTATGAAATCAAATGTGTAATTAATTATTTTTAAAGAATTCTTACATTCTGTATATTATTTCAATTTTAAAGAACAGGAATTTTATCAAAATATTAGTTGTTGTAGAAAATACATTTTCAAGATCAAAGTGTACGACCAAAGATGCAGACATACCTAAATTAAAAGGGGAATTTATTTTTGTTAATTCAATGAATCAAACTATTAAATTTAGTCAGTTCTGTTAATTTGTTTAGTAATCAATTGTAAGAAGTACTAAAAAATATCAAAAAACTTAAGACTGGAATATTATTAAAAGAATATAATGTTCTTTTTAAATAACAAATCTAACATATTATTGTCTAAGTGTAAAAACGTTAATGCATATTAAAATAAAAATTTAATTTGCAAACTATGTTGAGATAATTTGAGTACATGAAACTGTAAATCAATTTCTTAGGGATATTGCTCCAATATTAAATAACAAGTATCAATAACTAATTCATTCTAAATCTAAGAAAATTGTAGTTGAAATACCTTCTCCTGTCCAAAAAAAAAAAATTAAAAAATTAAACTATAAAAAACTGTTACACATATTTTCATTTACTATTTTAAAAATGTATGAAAATAATAAAAATTCAAATTTCTATTAATTATGACAGATATGTATACTGTCTAAAATTTAAAAATATACATACTTTTTCTTGACTGATATTATAAAACTGTAGATTTTTAAATAGATCATTCCAATATTTTAATTAATTTTTTAAATTATAAAAAAAATATATTACAATTACACTTCTAAATTTATGCTTATTTATATTAACAGTAGAATTTTAAATGAATATAAGAAGTATAAATTATAATTTGGTAAATTATTATTGATTTTCTTTTTTTAATAATGTAAATTGAAAATAGCATATCTCAATATTAATTATCTTAATTGAAACTTAACATGAAGTTAGTTTCTATGATTATTTATATTTCTGGTTATAATTTATTATAACTTTTGTATGAAAAAAAACACTTGTGTATAATATAAATTAATTATGGAGACTAATATTGTGAAAATATTGCTAACATTAGATAAAATTGCACAATAACTATATATATATATATATATATAGATATAGATCACTCTCAAATGATAGGAATATTACCTAACCACAATGTTGGCACTAGAAATTGAAAATGAAAAACAGTAATTGAAAATAAAATAACTAATTACTTATATTCAATTAGTTGAAAACTAATGCCTTTCTAAAATAAGTGATAGGATAAAATACATAGAATTAATGAAGTAAATTTTGCTGATATGGTTTTTCTCATTAAGATAAAAATAATAATTTATATTGCAACAATTAAGAATAGAAATTTAAGAGATTAACTGCTTAATGAATGAATGATTTGGTTTGCTTCACTTTTTAAAACATAAACAAGAGTTGTTTCTCAAAGAAAATAAACCATTAAACTAATATTAATTATCAAATTTCTTATAAACAAACATTTTTTAAAAAAAATTTAACATAATAAATAATAGAGAATATAATAATATTATTTATAACTTTATAAGTATAAAAATAATATCATTAAAATAATCCTATAAAACAAATTATAAGATATTCGTTTCCTCTAAACCTTAAAAGTAAGGTAATTATAGAAGTCCTTGACAATAAAAATCTTTGTAATATAAGAATAAAAAAAAGAGAGTAATTAAGTCAAAATTGTCAAAAATTAACCAAAAAAAAAAAAAACAACAGTAGCAAGTGTTAATTTTGTAAGGTAAAATTCTAAACCCTTCTAGTCAAACCATTTAATTTATCGAAAATATAAATATATATGTTTTTCTTTAAAACTATTAATAAGGATTTAATTAGATGAAAAATATAAACAATTTTTATGTTGATCATTCACCTATTTGATACACCTTGTATGATTCCTATGGACATCAGGGCCACATTTAGCAACCTAGCTAATAAACCAATACATCTTACAACAAAGGGTATTAGATATACAATAAATTAATAATAATTAATGACTAATATTTTTCACTGTTTAAAAACCATTTATAAGAATAAAAAATGCATAATTTAATTTGATATAAATTTTTACTCAAAGAAATTAAAAAAAAAAAAAAAACAATAAAAAAAAAAAAAAAAAAAAAAAAAAAAAAAAAAAAACAAAAAAAAACAATTCATTCTTAGTCGTATATATAAATAAAAATTTGTTTAAGATAGGCATATATTAAAATTACACAATAAAATCAAACAAAATTAAGAAAAATCCACGGAAACCTAAAAAAAAATAATTAAATACCATTATTAATTATTCAAAATTGTCTAATAAATATAATTATTAATACAATTTTCATGTCTGGTAACACAGCCAGGTTTATGAACTGTATGATAAATAACAAAAGTGAACCTTTTTAAGATCCAGTTTTACATTTTTGAAAGAATAACTTGCCTAGCAATGATAATCTCAATGTCATAGACATCAAATAGTGTAAGATATTTATGGTTAAATTAGATAAAAATATGTGTAAGAATCTACAATACATGTCAATAATTAATTTATAGGGCTAAAGAGTTTGAGTTTCTATAGATAATAATATGATTGTATGATCAATAAGGCATAAGTGTGTCGAGCTCAATACCAAACCTTATACATTAGAGTGTCTGAAAATGTTTTAAATCATTTAGTTGAAACTGGGCAGTAACTAGTGAGAAAGTTACAAAAATTAGTAACTTTATAACTTGTAAGTTTATTTTTGAGTGTGTATGCGAGTAACTTAAAAATTAATTTTTATTTAAATCAAAAAGTTACAGGTTTGTATTATTTTGTCATCAATATCATTCCTGAGAGTATTGATATGTATTTATCAAGAGTAATAAATAATGGACAAAAAAAAATAATATTTTTACCAAGATGTATCATCAGTACACCTTGATTTTACATAAATATAATATGGTGACAACAACATGCTGTTACTATGGAAAAATTGTTTTAAACATCAATACATGAAGATTCATACGTATATTATTTCTCTGAGAACTGGTCATCTGATGATAAAACATTACTATTAAAAGTCAATGAAAAAAATATTTAAAAAGCCTTTAAAACTTATATATTTTTGATGAATAATTATTATAACTACTAATAATTAAAAAATAATTTAAAAAGGAGTAATGACAATATTTAAATTTTTTATTAATTACTAGCAACTATAGCTTAATCAGTTACTCAAGTTAAGTAAATGGCCCAGCTTTGCCTTTAATGACACTAAAAAACAAATTATTCAAAAACTGCAAAAATAATTTTAGTCAAAAATATTAATTCTTGAATAAACAATTAGAGGACACTAATAAATAGCATAAAAAAGTATTTTATTTATTTATTTTCATTTATACTATTAGTTTAATATGATATCTACTAAGAATATATTTGTAATACCTACATATTATCTGTTACTATCTCTTTTAACAAATTTAAAATGATTGATTTAATTATTATTTTTGCTTGATATCAATTGTACTAACCTTCAAAACAAACTTTGCTGAGAAGGAATAAATCTTATAAATAAAAAAAAACTCACCCTTTGCCTTTGTATCGTGCGATCCTCATACCGGGTTCCCCCTTGGCTTGCCATTGGACGATTGAGAGTACTGTTTGCATTGTTTGGTGAATGTATGCCACCTGCGGCATTACGAGCAGCAATAGTTTTGGTAACAAAATCTTGTTCTCTCCAACCATGTTTTTTGTAAGCATCTCTTAATTCTTGATGTTGCCACATGGCAAACAAAACTTGACTGGCAAATTTCAGAACTCTAGAAGTGTATTTCTGTCGCTGTCTGATTATATTCATTAATCGTTCCACTCCACTAGAGTCCAGTAAAGACCTATGAAAAATTATCATTTGAAAAATTTTAAAAAAGTATAATAAAACAGTTTTAGCCGGGAATTTCGAAAATTGTTGAAGGAATGATTACGACACATAAGAGTCTGATTTTTCAAATTAATTACTGCAAATATAATACAAATTATCTTCAAAAGTCAGAATTATCATGTCACATTGTAATCTTTTAATAATTTGTATAACACTAATTGTTGAGTTTTCAACTATTGTTCACAGCACGGTTTGAAAATCAAATCATTTTGTTTTCGGTTTATATTTAAGCAAATAAACTTCAAAATGTATCTGCTAACTGGATAATAATAGAAAATATACATGCTAAAATTTAATCATAGAACTTAAATAAAGACTAGATGAGCTGCATGCTACATCCTGGTCATAGGTCAAAGGTCCCTGCTCTAAACCTATCTAATTACAAGAATATCAAATGTTTACATTCTATACTCTACAATTCTACATCACACCCTCTTAAAACATTATTTGCTATACTTATTAAATGTTAAATACCTTGCAAATTCAGCATTTTTTTTAATAACTTCATTTAAAGTTGCTAAAACAGCAGCTATTGTATCATCTGAAGTTCCCTGGTCATTTTGAGCATTACCTGATGGTAATTTTTGAACTAAATCTCTCATTGCATACTTGCCTAAATATATAATTTATATATTAAATAATATTCATATATTAAAATGTATGAAATTTTTTTTTTTTAAATAGAAAAATATAAGATACATTGATTTAAAACAGACCTATAAGTTCCTTGTTTCTTTGGTCAATAGCCAAATTTCGTAATGCTGTAGCAACAGCACATACAACTCTATCAACTTCCATCCGCAAAAGTTCTACAAGTATGGGAAGACCTTTTTCTTTTCTTACAGCTGCTCTTATTTCAATACTTGGCTGCCAATAACAAGCAGATAAATTTTGAATAGCTCCAGCAGCAGCTTCAAGAGTTTCTGGATTTGAACAACTTTGTAATAACGATAAATATGCTTGAACTACCTGCAAAATTTCATAAATAAAATAATATTTTTAAATGAGTAATAACAAAAATGTTAAAAAATTACTGTAATAAGGCACAAATCACACAGAGTTTAATTAGTGTGCATTGTGCATATTAGGGGGTTAATGGCATATAGCACAATGGTCTTATAATCATAAAAGTGGAAAAGATGTAACTCATAGAGTATAATAACAAGTTCACCAAAAATAAAAACCAAAAGCAATTTTTATTACAAGTTAGAAAAAAAACTGTTAACAGTTTCTAAATAAAAATATTTAATGTTTTTTGATGTATTCTAAGTGTCTTGAATTACCTTAAGTTAATCAAAAATATAAAAAGAAACCTATCCTGGATATTCATGACAATCATTAAGGATTCATTTTTACTATAAATTTAAAAAAAAAAACATCAAATTCATTTTTTTTTTTTTAATAATATAAAAGTGATAATATATCAGTTATCCACTAATACATCAAAATAAATCCTAGTGTAACATTAAATTGGTCACTTTAATTAAGTTTTTATTAATTACTTATTTTTTTTTTTTTTAAGAAATTAAATTCTATATCATTTTTATACTAAACATTGTTTCATATCTGTTTCTATCTGGCTGAAGAGCCATTTGACAAATATGTGAAATATTATATATTTTTCTTGGGAAAAACAGATTTTTCAGTAAATTGCATAACAATAGTTTATATAGACATTAACAAAAACTACCAAAGTCTTATATCATTTTAAGGTCAGTAATTTTCAACACTCATGTAGCATAGAATTGAGGCAAATTATCGTGACTAAATTTCACACAGATTACTTTTACTCAGTAATGAACAAAATAGGGAAGGAGGTAGTCAATCACCAAAAATAATAATATTCAAAAATAAAGACCACCCTACCTAATATTAATATATATATATATAGGGTTATTCCCTTGCATATAAATAGAAAGATATAGATTCTATAAAATGATATAAAACCAATAATTGAATAGAAGGTGAAAAAAGCACCGAAATAGGTAGAAAATAATTAGTTTAAGAGAATAAAGGGCAAAAATCCAAAAATATAAAAATATTTGTACTTCAGGTTGCCATAAAAGTTCCATTCCTTTTGCTGGTTCTGATCTAGGGATTATACGGCTGCTAGGGTTTTCTTTTGGAGAAACTATTTGAATATCTTTTTTCTTTTTACTAGCGCCAAAACAACCTAAGTTTTCTGCTAGAATGCAAAATTATTTTGAATTAATAAAATGTATACAAAATTAACATCAAATATATATTTCAAGTTTTGCAAGCTTACCTTTTGGTTGTGGGCCAATTCTACTTTGAGATGGTAATGGATGTTTATCATATATAGGGTCTTCCACTTCTTGACATCGATAAGATAAGTTACGCAAAATACACACACAATTTTCAACACTTTTATTACCAATGTTTGACTTTTCAATAGCTGTAGAAATGACATATAGTAAAGAATCAACTAAATGTTCACATTCACGTAACTTTTTCCGTGCATATTCTCCAGCTGAACTTATATTTCTAGAAAAAAAATATTAATTTTAGTTACAAATTCATCAATGAAAAATCCAGTTTACCTTAATACTCCAGAAGTATTTCTAAATACAGTTGACCAACAAATATCACTGCAAACAGTAGGACTCCATCCTGAATGAGGCAATAATATATGGTTTACAATAGTTGAGAGACCATCATCAATAATTGATTTTTTTAAATCCTGTAAAAAGCAAATATATTTATTTAAAACCCCAACTTTGAGACTTAATTACATTAATTACTTCACAAGATGATAAATTCCATAGAACTCCAGTAACAAGTTCTTTAACTTCAGCATCAGCAGACTTATGTAATAAATTAATAAGTAATGGAATTCCACCTGAATTTTTAATAGCTTTCTTATTTTCGACATTTTGTTTGCCATATGATAAATTTCTAAAAAATAAATAAAATTTTAATTCTATAAATATCTGCAACAGTATTGAAAATATGTACCTTAGGGCTCCACAAGCATTTCTATAGACATCAGGACAATCGTGGTTTAAAAGTTTCACCAAAGCAGGTATTCCTCCTAAAGTTCTAGTTTTTTGTTTATTTGGGTCATCCATATAGCATAAGTGTTGTAAATATGCAGCTGCATTTGCCTTGATTAAATTATTGGGGTTAGCCAAGAATGTAATAACTTCAGACAAATTGGGATCTCTCCATCTAAGACCTACATAAGAAAACAAAGTACATGTTAATATTTATTTTAATATTAAAAAAAAAAACCAACAAACCTTGAGCTACCATTTGTTCACCACAATCATCTATATTCCAAGATCCACTCATTTGATCTAAATAAATAAATGCATTTAAATTTTGTATAATATTCATTAAAAAAAAGTAATAATTCTAACCATAACAATCACCAGGCGATGGAGTAATTCGGTGATAATGATTTGGATGTAAAGCACTTGAATCCAGTTCTTCATAACCAGAAGTAGGATATGGTAAACCTTTTCTCAAGTATTCTAAACAAAATTATATTTTGTATAAAATATTAAGTATGTATTGTAAATATTTTATAAGACACTAATCTCAATAACACTAATTATTGCAGAAAGTATTAATTTAGATCTGAATTTTTTTAATTTTGTTTTCACAATTTCTGAAATAAGCAGCTCTAAAATGTTATATTACCTGCAATATTTAAATAGTGCTTTATTACTTTTCCAAAAAAAAAGCAGAATATCATACATTGGGTTAACAGAAATTAAAAATTTCAACACTAAAATATATTTAACTGGAAAAACTTCATTTATTTATAGAATTTTCATTATTGGTTGCTATATAAAAATCAAAAAGGAGTATGATTTCACCCCCAAGATGGAAAAAATGAATGGCAATGTAACACTTTAGAACAGCTTATTTTTTTAAAAAATTGCCTAAACAAAAATTTAAAAAAATATATAATAAACATATTAAATACTTTTAATTAGTATTATAATATTTACAATTATTTCAGATTTTAATTGGAACTAATGTTTTACACATGTTTTAACAGTTTGGATTTTTTTACTAGATGGCAATTTATTTAAAAAAACACTGCTTAATTTCCAACAATTTGTCTATCAAATTTTAAAAAATCTGTCCTAGGATAATGGAGAAAGATGCAGCCACTTTTAAAGGTAATTTAATGTACACCTGTACGCAACGATAAACCATTGCTAATGAAAAACGATTCTGAGCTGAATTCAGTTGATAGTGATGCTTTGTCAACAATATATAATAAGACATATGTCTTATTATAATAAATTAATTAAATAGGAATTATATATTTTCTTTAGAATATTTGTTTAATATACTGATTGATTAATGTTTATTCCCGTTTTTAAAAAGCCTAGAAAAATCGAAAATGATGTTCATAAAGTACTTTCCCTATCAGATTTTTTTTCAGAAAAAGTGCCATCATTGTAATTCAAAGCAAAATTGCTGGTAGAAAAGTTGTTCACAGGAAAAAAAAAATAAATATCTTTGTAATACCATAAGCTTCTTCGCTCCACTCAGAATCTTTTTTTTTTTTTTTTTTTTTTTTTTTTTTTAAGCATNGAAGCATATTTACCATCTATACAATTTGTACAATAAGTAAATTTGATAACATAGGTAATATTAAAATGACTTGAATGTCTTGAGGGGGGGAAACCATCCATCAACAGTACCTCCTATTTAATTTGATGGGTTCATATAATATGGAGACCGTTAGGCAAGAGCTTCTCTTGGGCATTTTCTTTTTAACCTTCTCAGAGGATTGTTGGGGATGGTTATAGAGGACATGCGGGAAATAGAGGGTTTTGGTTCGAGTGCAGTTTGGAGTGAAACTTTTTGTAATGGTGAGTTGCTATTTCGTTGACTGTTGGGATTTGGAGATCTTTATGTAATGCATCGTTAGCCATATACCATGGGGCTCCAGTTATTTGTCTAAGACATATAGACTGGAAAACTTGTATGGGTCTTATATTGGATGGTTTGGCTTGGCCCTAGATTTGGATACCATATGACCAGAGGGGAGTAATAATCGTCTTATATATTAATATTTTGTTTTTTAAATTCATTGAAGGAGACAATAATGGACGGAGGAGATGTAGATGTGTGTTTGATTTTTTTTTTTTTTCTGTTTTGTGTGTTAGGCCCAGGTAAGTCTTTTATCTAGATGAACTCCGAGTTATTTGGTTACATTTTGGATAGTAATTGGTGTATTATTGAGCAAAAGTTGTGGACATTCGTTTTTTTTTCAGAGAAAAATTTATTTGAACTGATTTGTTTTCGTTTATTTTAATTTTCCATTTTTGAGTCTAATTGGAGATTAGATTTAAGTGGTATTGTATATCATGGGTGGCTATGTTTGGGTCTTTATTTGATGTTAGTATAGTAAGTATAGTATAGTTAGTATAGTTAGTATGTCTGCATATGTCGCTAGAGTTGTATGGTTTGTTTTGGGCATATCTGATGTGTAGATATTGTAGAGTATAGGTGATAGGTTACTTCCCTAGGGTACTCCCGCTTTGATTTTATGGTAGACAGAGTAAGAATTGTTAAACTTAACAGTGAAATATCGGTCTTCAAGATAAGATTTTAGGATGAGGAAATACGGAGCAGGTAGAAACGGTTTTAATTTGAACAATAATGCCAGACGCGATCAAATGCTTGCGCGATATCAAGGAATACACCGGAGCAGTGTTCTTTTTTTTTCGAATCATGATGATATTTTGTCGGTAATTCTATGTATTTGGTTGATTGACTAATGATATGATCGGAATCCAAATTGAGTATTAGGGCTGATGTTTTTTTCTTTTATAATAGGGGTTATTGTTTTAAGTAGTAATTTTTCGAAAAGTTTCCCTAAATAGTAAACTTATTGGGCGGTATGAGGTTACCAAATGCTTTGGTTTTTCTGGCTTAGCAATTAATATTATTGTTGAGAATTTCCATATTGGGGGAATGTATGATAACCTGAGCATTGTATTGTATATGTGAGTCAAAAGAAGGATGGTTTTATTTGTTAGTTGNATAATATTTTATTTCTTGTGGTGTGATTGGTTTAGCTGGTAGTGACATAGGTAGAGGACTGTTAAGAAAAGTTTGGACATTTTCTATGTGTATTGTTATATTGTAATTTGTATTCGAGTGGGGTTGGAAAATTTCTGATAGGTGATTCACGACTCAGAATCTAAAAAATGAAAATAAATGTCAATACATCCATTTTATTTTGCTGATTCTAGGATTAAAAGGGAAAAAGCATAACTAATATGCCTCTGCTCAGAATCGGTTTTTGATTTTAATTTATTGTTGCTTTCAGTATACAAATTAAATTGCCCTATATTCTATATCTTTCAAACTTTTACTTTACAGTGGCCTATATAATGTGGTACAAAAAAGTACAAAATACAGCACATTTTTATGCATACAGGAAAAATGTATTTAATATGTTTTGTAGTAGATAAAAATAAAACCAAAGAAAAATCATTAATTATTTTAAAATTTATTGGAAAATAATAACATGTAATATTATAGGTACATAGATAAGTTAATCAATAATTAATAACAATCAGAAATTGATAACTATATAACTGATAAGATAATATGACCATGATCCGTTTAATAAGATCAGATATAGTTAAAATTGCATATATTTTTATATATATATTTAATATTATATTATATATAAATATATTAATTATTATATTTATATTTTGGTGTTTTTCCTTGGTTCCACCCACCCAATTTGTTTTGTGTACTTCCTTTATTCTTTGATGGTCAAAATTGTCAGAATTAAGAAAAGTCTAAAGGCATCAAAAATATAGATAATGAAAACTAATACGAGAGAGGCAGTTGAACAACAAAAAATATTATTTTCATTTTTATTGAACGAATTCTTGTATTTTGATAATAAACATAATTAATAATTGGAGCGAATCCAAATAATTTATTTTACCTTGAGCCAATAATTGATGAGGTGGAGGCGATTCACTGCAGGTGCTAGGGCTTGGTGGTGTTGGTACAGTTTCATTATAATCATGCCCCAGTTGGTTAGGTGGTATACCAGTATCATAAACTTGATATGCACTTCCATCAATTTTATTAGCACTTTGCTGGCCAGCTAAATTATTGGAACTGTAATACGAAAGTCCAGGGTGTACACCGACATAATGATCATATTCTTGGCAGCCCGGATTGTAATTCTGGTAGTCATTATTATAATGTCCTGATAAGAACAAGAATATATATATATATATATATGATATAAAATATTAATGTCAATTATTAATTTACAAAACTCTAATATTGTATAATTTAATTATCTCCTTAATGTTTATAAAAAAAAATAACACCTTTTTAAATAAAACAAATAATCAATAAAAAATTAATTTTTAAATGTAAATGGGTGGGTCATCCACAAAGTAAGATTACAGTGTATTAAGGGGTCTTCTATATGTTATTATAAGGATAGGACATGTATTTGTGATGATCATCAAAAAATAAATCCCTAACACATTGAAGTAACCATCTAAACCACAATTATGATCTTAGAACCATATAAAATTGCCACCACCAAAATCATAATCAGTGCAATATTAAATCAAATGTCACTTTTCAACATTTCTGACACTTCTCAATAAAACAGTGCATCAAATCAAAAACACCATTACTTTGTGAGCGAATTTCCTAATAATAATAGTTTATAATTAGATATTATTTTAATATTCAAAAATTACAAACCAGATTCTGACATATGAGCTAAATTATTCGGTTGGGTTGGTAATGCTGAAGTAGATGCTCCTAATGTATATGGAATGTAATCTAGAGAATGGCCATTTGGAATCATATGATGGACTTCTCGTACAACTTTTGTTACTGTTGTGACCTTAAATAAAAAGTAAAATTAAAAATTTGTTTTTACAGCCAGAACATATAAATTAAAATTAAATAGGTAGATTCTAACTTGTTGAGTAGTTTGATGTTGTTTTGTTTGAGAGACTAATACTGGTTGTTCAGTTATGTTTTCTTGAACACTATTACTTGCATATGTATTATCATTAGAGAAAGGATTATTTTGAGAGAGGTCTGATTGAGCTCTAAAATTTAAAAAAAATTATTATTAACTTAAATCAATTACATAAACTAAGTATATTTAAATTTTAAATAGTAATAATAATAATTATACATATCAAACAAATCTTTTATAATTACACTAAATGAATAATAAGCGAAGTGAACTAATTAAAATAGAATATTAAAACAAATATTACTTTTTTATATAAAACTAACCTAATTAATTTCAGAATTTTTATTTTTTTTTTTGAGGAATATACAAGTTTTTTTTTTTATGAATAAAAGTTATTGAGGCCTAATTTTATTGTATACCTGTGCTTAAAAACAAGCATTATTAGTAATATCAAAAAATTAGATAAATAGAATGACAATATTTTATTGGTAGGTACTCTATAGTAGGTACTCATAACCTAATAAATGATTTCTACTATACAGAGTTACTTATATGTTTTTTTTTTTTTTATATAAGACACTTATTATCTTAGAATGTAATGTGTTGGTATTAATTGCTTTTAAAAACCAGTACCTAGTTCTTGAATACATTTGTCATTAAGCCGGTCCCACACAAGTATTTTGTCGAGTATTTTAACTTAATGATTATGTCACTCCTACACTCCTACATACCTACACTTCTAACTGGCAACTGTGAACGGTAGTTTGTCGCTAGTGGTGAGCAAGGATGAGTTGTATGGGAAACTCTACAATCACCATAATAATAAACACAATCATATTTTATAATTCCTTTGACTCATATCACATTTACTGACAACCAATGAAAAATGACAAGTGACTTGGCGGTTAAAAATAATCACCATATTTGACAATTAAACACTTTCATAAAGCGTAAACCCTGAGGGACCAGCTTTAGATTAAATAATAATAATTATCAATTAGTATGATTAAGGAGTTTATTATCAAGAATGAAGATCATACCATTGATTATACATAGTATAAGTATAATACAATTTAATACTTATAATCAATGATAATATTAATATCTAGAATGTAGATACTGTCATAAACATAAATAAGTAGATAAAAAATGAAAAATATCTCTTACAGCCATGCATTTTTAATGAATCATTAAAATTTAAATCTGTAAATGACAAAATTATTTCAATAAAATAGAACATACTTCACATAACAGTAAAACCACTGTTATAGGTTGAACAATGAAAGGTAAAAGATATATTTACTAATTTATTTTATATACTAAGCAGCGATAAATTATAGCAATCAAAATTTGATTTTAAACAGAACCAGGGAAATTAAAAAGTTAACAAAAATGAAATCATTATGAAATATTATAATTTTTTGTTAATTTTTCAAATAAAATACAAGGAATAAATTCTAGATCATTTAAGGTACTGTATGAAAAAATTTGACCATTTTTTACTGGCCACTGTTTCAAAAGAAAAAAAACCCCATCTTAGTAAATGCTTACTACAAACAGAATCTAAAAAAATGGGTAGCTTTAGACAAATTTATTGTTCAAAACTTTGTTACTGTATGAAAATTGGTAGGTACAACAAAATTGATTAATATAACATGAATTATACATGCAATTATTCTAAATTTACATAACATTTAAAATTTAAAAGTTAAATGAAACTTTTAGAGATGAGTCTTATGGGAGAAGCAATCACTGGTATAATATATATACACATACATTATCTTATGTACACCTAGAATCCTATCATTACCAATACATATACAGTAGTCTCTGAATAATTCGAAGTTCCTTTTAATTTTGAATTACTGAGAGTTCAAATTGCTGAGTAGTTCGAAATAAAGAGAGCAAAAAAAAATTGAATTACTGAGTTTTGAAAAAATTGTTTTAATATTATAATTATTAAATATTTTAGCAAATTAGGCGGCATTATAGTATTTATTGTTTTTAAAATGTAAATATAAAATGATTAATATTATTAAATATATTGAATTAATTATGTATATTAAATTATTAGTCAATAATTGTTTTCTTCTTCATTTAAGGTTAGGTAATTAAGAATTAAAATGCTTATGATAAGGTACTTACGATAATAATTCTATAGTTATCGAAAATAATAATAAAAAATTATAAGAAATACATTTGGTGAATATACTTCAAATTGCTGGATAAACTTCAAATTGTCACGTGTTAATGGCCAGTTTTCTGAAAATTTAATTTTGAATTACCGAGTGTACTTAAATGAATTATTTTTATTTGAATTACCATGAGATTTTTAAGAGAACAAGATTTATTTTGAATTATCAAAGGTTTAAATTATTGAGGGTTGACTATACCTAGAATTATTTCATTCATAGAACTTAATTGATTTATTAAACCAATTAATAAAATACATTATCAACATATTACAAAAAAATTATTTAGTTTTATATGATAAATATACGTAGGGACTATTGAATTTATATAATAAATAAACTTGACTAAAATTACTTTATTTAATATAATTTATAATTCTCTACTAACATAGAAGTAACATTACTAAAAAGCAAGATCAAAAAATATATTATGTAGATGTTTATATATTATGGTTATTCTGAACAATAGCAAAAATGAAAACCAAAAAAAAATGTTGGACAAATATTAAAAATGTATTTATGTATGAATTACCTAAATAAATAATAAATATTGTATTTTACAGTTATTCACTTTTGGACCTTTTAAGGTAAGTAAATGTTGGTATTTATTGTACATTATTAATAAAAAAAAATGTATATATGTCAACTAGTTTCCATAGGTACCTAACCTAATAGATTTAAATGAATTATTAAAAATTCTAACAACAATAGTTTATTACATAATTTTAATAATTATTAAATGACTTATGAATGATTTTATATTACAAAATATAGATAAATCCACTAAAAAAAAATAAATATTAAAAATCAACAACAAAAGCAAATAATAAAAAAAAATTCTAAAACATGCCATAACAAAACAAAGCATATATGGTTTAACTTGAAAAACATGACAACTAGTTTTTACAGTTTTTGTAAAAATGCAATACCTCTGTGTTATTTCGGTGCAGGTAAAGCTTTGCTCTTGGAGTTTCTCCACCCTCCGGTTCACCAATCTGTCACCCAAGCAAATTTTTAAAAAATATGTTTCATTGTGTTTACAAAAAGCCATGTTAACAATACATTCGTTTTTTTTTTTTTTTTTAATCCATTCTCATATTAAAATAATGATTAATAATAATGATCAATAAAACAATATTTATTAAGTGTTTTTACATAATATTTTATCAACAATTTGTCATATTAAATTAATGTCAATTTAATAAAATACTTCATACATCTTTTAGGAATTTAATCCTAAATAATTTTTAAACATGTTTAGCTCAATAAAATATACATGTAAAAAGAACTACCATCAAGTAGATAATAAATTAGAATATAAAACACAATACTAAGAATCATATTCTTTTTTTTAAAAGAAAGCAGACTTAAATATTAATATTGTAGTTCTAAATTAGCTACATACCTCATAAAATGAAAAAAAAATTAAGTAACTCAAGTCTTTGTAATATACATGGCTTAATATTTAAGTATAGGATGCTCTAAAAATTTTTTTTTTGAATACATAAATACTGAATACCTCAGGTTTTATCTGAAAAAATTTACATGGGTAAGCTAGGTAGGAATTTCCAAAAAAAGAAAAAACTCAAATTTAAGCACAATTTCGAAAAGCAGAAACACTGACAACAAAAATCTATTGATATACAATCAGTAAAATTTTATATATTTACATAAAAATAATTAATTTAAATTTAAATAAGATTATGTTGAGAATATTTTACCTAAGATTCTAATTGTTATTGAGATATTTACTTTTAAAGTTTAAAAACTTGTTTTATTTTTTATCTAACTTGTCAATTGAACATAAGTTTACTTTGACATTAAGGATTATATTTGTTTTAAAAATAAATAGATAATAAAATATTATAAAATAAACCAATATCATTTTCATTATTAAAACCATTAAGTGCCTATAGTCAATAGTAAAGCATTTTAATATTAACATTATGTCTTTTATTGAAATAGTTTAATGTAACGCTGCATTTTAATCAGTTAACAATAATTGTGTTTTATTTATTATAAATTTAATACATAATCAATAACAATGGCATAAATTTATATAGATAACTAAATTAATAATATTATTCAAAAGATTATGTTGTAATTTAGAATATGGTAAATATTGTGAAATTATGTTCTGAATTGAAGCTATCTACTTATAGGAAGATGAATCCATAGAATAAAAAAAACATAGATAATCGACAATTATTTTTGATGATTGTACAAAATTAATGAAGTTTATTATTAATTATAATAAATTATGCAATATTTTATATTATTCATTATTATGTATAATTTATATCCAGAATAATAATATAAAATCTTAAATAAATAAATATAGTATCTTATAATAATCATCATAATAAATTATAATGTACTCACAGACATGAGTCAACCAGCTGATTACTCATTGATATTTTGACACTAATGACGCCTGGGATAACAAAAATAATAAACAATAATTATTTATGTGTGGATGGGCATAGAGAATATTTTTTTTATTTAAAGTTTTGTAAAAAAAAACAATCAGTCACAGAAATTAATTATGTACCTATCAATTAGTGAATCAATGAAAAGAAGAATATTTTTTTTTTTTATTTATTTATATAATTGCGTCAATACACTAAGTATTTTTACAATGTTAAGAATATTAAAATTACTTTTTTTACATATCCAACAAAACAATAGTATAGCTTCATATTTACATAGGTTATAGTTATAACTAAAAAAAAAAAAGGAACAGTGGCACATTTAGAGAGTAGACCAGGAGATTAACATTTAATAGCTATTAGATCAGGTTTCCTAAGTACTTCAAAAACCCATCAAATAGATACATAAAATAAATATAATCGTACCAAGTAGGTACGATAATATAATAAGCAGTAGTGGATCCAGGGTCACCCAAAGGAGGGGGCAAATTTTCAAAAATGAAATTACCTTATTTTCTATTTAACCTGTATTGGAGGCTAATTATTTGTATTATTTCTATGAATGCATCAAATGAATGGTATATAAGTATAAGACTGTATGAATGAAGGAGTTGTATAATATATTAATATAACATAAATGTATGTAAATATAAAATCAATGGTTTTATGAAATACAGATAAGATAAGGTGTGTTCGGCTGTTTCCCAACATATTATGTGACTGTTAATAATTTATTATTGGTGATTGAAAGATTTCCGATGATACGCAATTAGATAATCAGAATAATAAGAATCAGATGAAAATTAAAAACAAATCTGAAATTTAAAAATAACTAATTATTTATTTAAAAATTATGAGATACAGTAAATTTTTCTATTTTATGTAATTAGTAATGGAGGGAAGCAATCGACCCTCCCCCGTAGATCTACGCCTGATAATTGACATAAGTAGGATATAATAAATAATTTTTTCATATTAAAATCATAATACTAGAAGGAAGTACAATTTTCCAAAATGTTGATACCTAGGTAGTAAGGTTGAAGTCTGACTTTTAAATCCAAAAAAATGTCAAAATATCAAAAAAATATAAATAAGTTATTGATTTGTATAGCCACCTCAAATAACAGTAGTAGCTAAAATTTCAAATCTTGAATTTTACGACTGCTTTTGGCGGTACTGAATGGTTTTACAGCTGTACGATCACTATTTTTATTTACAATTACATATAATAGATTTTAGCAAGAGACATATTATAAATAGTTTATTACATATGAAAGAAAATCTTGCATATTATTACAGGAAAATTGGAAAATGGATAATCTAACTACATAACATGAATCAGGTAAGGAAGAGGAAGGAAAAATATAAGGGTGGTTTTTCGATATTTTGATATTTTTTTTTGAACCCAAGTTCTAGATTTCAACCGATAATAATTAATCGGTTTAAAAAAATATTTTGAATTCTGTTAAGAACAGGCAATTACAAATATTTACATTACCTATGATAATTGTTAAATTAAAATAAACTTATAATTTTAAAGTAGGTAGGTAAGATGTCATTTTAAAGTGTATTATACCCCAATGACTTAACTCAGACTTAACAATTTGCATTGTCCAAATTGTTGGGTACCTAATATTTTTATTGACACGTAATATAATTGAATAAAACATAGTAAGTACAATATTCAATAAAATGTAATAATTAATTGAATTAGTACGTCCATAATTTTACGCCTAGAGCAGTCCTTGCCCGAGTGTGGCACGTACCACTAATATGTGGGTTATGGTTATTATGGGTATAGAAAAATTTGAGCAAGTACACAATTATACATATTATAAACACTGTGGAAATTTACGAAATCCAAACCGGGACACCTGAAGTTTATGAGCAGTAATTAGGTGTCCAGCTGTAATTATGAACAGAATTTCGACCAAAATTAGGTGCATTACAGTCAACTAAGCGAGCCTACGCCCATCGATTTTCGATGCTATTGGCCGACTACGCCTAACGAAAAACCAGAAAATCAACTATGCCTATCGAACGATAATAAAAAACCGTGTGCTCGAGGGTGGGGGTGTTGTCAGAACGCAAACGGGACGCCTATGAGGGCGCGACACGAACACGATCAAGTACGTAGTATTAAGTAGGTGTGTACTAGGTAGTAAGTAGGACGTACCTTGTATCAAGAAGAACGTTCGACGTTTTCAACGGGAACGGGTCATCGTTTTATTGGCGAATGATGACCGATGATGCACACGATCCTGGATACGACGAGCACACACAAAACTTTACGGACAGTAGCCGTGCTTAATGCTCAACTTGCACAACAGCGGCGACGGCGGCGACGGCGACGGCGACGGCGACGACGACAGCGACGGCGGCGACGACGGCGACGACAGCGGCTGCGACGACGACGGCGGCGGCGGTGACGGCGGAGGAGACGGCGACAGTGTTGCCAATAGAAAAATTATCATTATGCAATACATCATTTCAAATTAAGCTGGATAGAAGATGTCAGCCTAATAATGATAATTTATTTAAGTTTCAGAAAATCAGAAAGTCGGAACTCACTTCGCACGGCCTATCTAGTCAATAATCGATAATCTATCAATAGTATCAACAATTTATTTTCTGTTCTTCCCAGATTCGGGTGTTTGTGTATAAAATAGGTTTTCATTTTAAAAACAAATATTTTTTAAATTTTTATTTGTTTTTAATAAAATCAAATTTTACTAAATCTTAACATACGCCTTACGGTCATTATTATTGGATAGGTACTTGCTAGATATGGTATCATAATAATATGACAGTAGTCCAATCATGATTCAATTCCCCCCAAATTTCGTGGGGGGGGGGATAAAAATGTCAAACAAATTTCTGAATAGGCATATGGATAATACATTACATTGCATATGTGACTTGGAACCGTAGGCTTCAGATCACCCAATTAAACATAAATAAAATCAATTCGATAAATATTAACAATCAGCTGCAGAATACAGAGGCACAAAAACCAGCAGCAATCCCAAAGACTAATGTGCATTTTAAATTTCAACGATATCGTCCATAACAACATTTTGTCATGGACGGTTATAGTTTTTTTTTCCTGTCAAATAGAAAATACATAGATCTTACACTAGTTTAAGGTCCATGAATAATTGCTATGATATCAGACGGCGGGGAAATCGTTCGCGCGTATTTGTATTCCTCTATATTCGGATAGTAGGTTGTACCTACACCTACCTACCTACCTACCTACCTACTTACCTACCTACCTACCATATTATACGATCGCTAATAATTTGTGTTATTTTCAAATGCCAAGTGTCATGCTAACAATTTAATTTTTTTCTTTATGAAAATAATAATACATGTATATGTACCTATACAGGCTTTACCTAAATATCGAATAATTCGCTAAACTGAGTACCGACGTCGAGTCGTACAACTACTCGTACGCGTGTAGATTAAGTATACTTGGCATAATATTAAACGTTTATGGAGACGATTCCGACAATTGACGTATGCTCTTATTTCCGGGTAGTGAAGATATTATAATATCACGAAACAACAAAACCCAAGTAGATGTACCCATACACCTGTACAGGCGGGTTCCCCAAATCCGATTTTACGATGGTTTTATGATCGAATATAATCGCCGAACAAAAAATATGTAACAGTTTCTCAACAGACGATAATTACGCGTACAGGGAATTGTACGAAACATAAAATCAGTTGTGAAAAAAAATAATGGTCAAGTTGGGGGGGGGAGGGGATGTGACACCATCGCGTGGTAGGAAAAATACAAAATCGTAACGTCACAGGAAAACCCTCTCGGTCGCGTTCGTACCACGGCTCTATAACAATACAATTATAATTCAGTCACGGTTCACGTACACGGTATACGTACGTCATCAGTGAATCAGTCGTCACTATATAGTCATGACACACATAAAATTATGGGTTACACCCGTAACGGGCGCGCGTATGTATGTGTGTGTGCGTGTGCGCACGTTCCCAGCGAGTGTCAGACCGACGCTCTGCGGCGGTGTAAAGTCGGTGTACACCAACACCGTAGACTTATTAATACTCACGGACGGCGCGGCGTCTATAGTGATGTATCGCAAGATGGTGTAAAGAATTGGCGAGAAAAGAGAGCGTCTTGGCGCCATATTACTGCTGTTGGACAAAATATTAGTTACTCGGGTCATTGGACCGGACATTATTATGGTCACCTACTAGGTACATTCGGGTGTATACCGTGGCTAGACCGCCGAGCGAGAAAAGAACTTTATCCGGACGACTAAAAATCGGCTATTCGTATGACCCGTGGGTTTTATCCGTGATAAAATAGATAGGTAGCTTTGCGTTGATATAATATTACGATGATCTGTCATGGTTTTACCAACGGTACGCGATGCAAACGCGTAATACTATACGCGACTTGCTATTTTGTTTTATTTTAGCCTCCCGGCCCACCACCGCCCCCCCCACCACCTCACCACCACCGGAGGCCGGTCGATCCACGGTGACCGATGACTGTGAGTAGTCGGATGAAATAAGAAGAGGAAAAAATAAATAATAAATCACGCGACGTCACGAATGCGACGCGGGAATTACGAGAAATTTCTGACGGACGACGACGGCGGCGGCGGCTTTACGCCATATTTCGGTACAATACACAAATGTATAACAATAATAATAATTGTTTTTCTGAACGAAAACGATTTCACCATTTCTCCTCCCCTCTCCCCCTCGTAACAGTGTAAACGGCAAATCGTAAATAACGGTATAACACAGCACTGCGCCACCGTTGCTATGGTTCGCGTGTACGCGTGTACCTACTACCTACCGTGTGTGCGACGACGACGCGACGCACGCGCACGTACACACATAAGTGCATAACTCACAGACACACACACACACGCACGCACACACACACACACACACCCAGCGGCCCCGGACACGCGCACAAAATACACTCGTTGCACACACACACATCGAAATGTACGGTGTACGTCAGCGTCAGCCACCGCGACGACGAGGAGTTATCGCCCTGTCGTTTGTAAATAATATTACGAGCCACCCTCACAGAGTGCCCACCATCGCGGGGGGGGGGTCATGGTTACCGCGGCCGCGGCCGTCAGTCGTCACCCGTTTATCGCGAATTTCCCAACCAGTTTGGCGTACCAATACGGCAATACCTATACCTACCAGCCGTCCATGTACCTAGGTATATAATATCATAGCAGTTGTTATTTTAATTTAATAAACATTGTTTGTTTGTTTCTTAGGTACTTGCCTTACTGTCCTTACCGTATAGCATGGTTAATAAATTAACATATTTATCGATATGAGGCGGGCCACTTCAACAAAAATATTATAATATTATTATTCTACAAATATTAATTTCATCGTTAGAAACAAAATTGAATGCGTGTCCTACCCATACTATTTAACCATCAATCATCGTCATTCGTCACGCTATTCTGCACATTATCATTATCATCGTATGAGTACCTATATTGAGTAGGATGTTGCATATTTTACTATTATTGTAATATGGTCTATTTAGAAATCCATTATACTGCCCAAAGCAGTGGTTCTCAACTTCTGTTATATTACGTCCCCTTTGTAGCTTTTTAAAAATCTCTCGCTCACTTTCCCTTTTTACAAATACAATAAGCAGAAAAAAAATGGCCATTAAGATGTCGATAAGTAAACAAATCTTATCAAAAATTTCAACTGCCCCCTGTCGCCTCTACCTAAATACGGCCTTGTTCAATACGATCTTAATCGATCGTGTCTTCCCACGTCGCCGATTCCCATTTCGCCGACACATAAATCGGTTATATTACTATTTTGAATTGAAATATCATTGTTGCAATGCAATTATTATTACTAAAGAAATTCCAGCGCTGCAATCGTGGCATGAGCGTAAGTAAATATATAAATTTAGTATTATCCAAAATACAAAAACTATTGACAATAACAATAGGTAATCAACAATTAGATAGACGTTCAAAATAATTGTTCACGTTATTTTCATAATTTAAGTTTAGTACAGTGACAATTTAAGAAAACTAGTGTAGATAATCCTTTGCAAAAACGACAACAAAAACGAGTCGTTGTTTTAACATGAGCCATACTAGGATAGAGTCATGGGTAATTGTCCTTCAAGCAACGCACGTCACATGTAAGTATTAACAAAATTAAATGTTCATCCCTGAGAGGGGGGGTGAAGGGGCGTTCGCCCCCCCCCCCCATAAGCTGTGTGATGTTCTTTTTTTATTACACAAAATATCCATAGTTTTTAAGTACAAATGCAACCAGTTCCAAATGTCATAAAGATATTTTTTGGAAATACTTTGATTGTAACAAGAATGAAACACTTTTCATTTATAAATTTCAATAAATATTCTCTCACGGGTGATATAGAATTATGTAAAATCAATTGGGAAAAATCAATTTGCAAATATATAATAAAATAATATATTTTTAGAATTAAAATTGGAAATGATCAATTTAATTTAAATTTTAGATTCTGAATGTAACGAAAAATGTACCTATTGGATTTACAATGTTTTTTTTTTTATACTGTGACAAAAATTTCTACCAGAAATCTTGCTTCAATATGTAAGTGTAGCACCTTTTTTGATAGGAAATATTGTCATATTCACTAGATGGTAATTTAGAAAGGTAATTTTTTGATTTTCCAAGCAGTTTTCTTAGTATCAGGAAAACTCAGAATAAAATGTAAGAAAAACGGCAAAATTTACGAAAATAATACTTTTATTATTTTAAATTTGATTTTTTATAATTCTGTTAAAAATATTTGTAGAAACTTGAAATTTGGATAGGAAATTTATACTTGCCTTTTATAGACATGGTAAAATTGTCGAAATATTTTTGCTAAATAGAAGAGTTCAACAAATTATCAGCGGAAAACAAACTCGAATTCATAATTTTCCAAAATACTTTATTGTGGGTAAATTTATTAAATAAATCTGAACTTGTAGGTTATTTTAATACATACTGTCAAATTTTGACATCAATTGTAGAGTTATGAAATCTAGCAAACTCGATAAGAATATACGGGAAGACGAAATTTGTGAGAAAATTTTAAGACCTGCCAGAGGCAATATATGAGACGATTGGAAAGATAGACAATACCACGATAGATAAAATAAGTACGAATCTGGAAAGGTATGATCTAGCGAAATTAGTTAGACAAGAATATAACCCAAACGCGAACAATGAGATAGAAACTTTAAAGAAGGCAATGGAAACACTTAAAGGACATATACGGCAATTAAACATAACACAAGGTGAAAATAGAAATACAAATAGTATTCGTAATCCTAGTTATCAACATTTTGGAAACAACAAAAATAGAAACTTTAATAGAATGCCGAGTATCAAAATTGTTTCAATTTGGGTTATCAGAGACAGGGGGACAGGTATCAGAATAATTATAATTATACAAATAACGATCCAAGACCTAGTAATCAGTTTGTGCGAGCACCATAATTATCTACACCTCATCCAAACCCAAATAGACCCCGCCGGTATGTTTCGGATGCGGGATAACGGGTCACTTTAAACGAAACTGTAACATACCAACAAACTAATAAGGAAGCACTTTATTAGGTATGTTTCGGAAACATGGGAAAATTCTAGGATATCTATAACAGATCTGGTTTCTATCAAAAAGAAAAAGAGCTAAATTTCGAAAAATCGAATATTATAAACTGTACAGAGTATAGTATAAAAACACAATAAATGCTATAAAATAGAAATACCCGGCCAAATAAGTAATCAGGAAACAAATCGTTTGATTGACATGGGAGCGAATAAAACAGTAATTAATTATAATAGTGTTCATTTAAAAGAATTTGTACAGGTAAAAAATTATTATAGTCTAAAGATGGTGAATAATACTACTAGTATTATGGTAGATCTGAGGAAATAGAAATAAAGCATGAATGCATAATAGTCAATGGAATTTACGCATCAATATTATTGGGGATACATTAAAATGGCTAAAAGTCATAATAGACATGGATAAAAATAACGTTACCTTCAAATTTAAAAAACAAACAGAAACATTTAATTAGAATATTTATAATGATCAGAGGTCTAGGAATTTTAACGGAAAATAGTAATTTGGAGGAAAAAACAAGTTATATCTGTAATGAATTTCCCACAAATTTGATTAATTTACAAAATAAAAATAACGGTAATGGGAATATTTAAATATTGGGAGTTTCAAAAACTACTATTGGTTTAAGTTATATAAACGATACTAATATTTTAAAAATAATGAATCAAATAAATTCACCGTTAGAGTTTCAACAATTTTTAGTGAAAAATTATGCGCTATCACAATCATTGATAGATAATTACGAGGAGACCACAGGTAACATTTTTATGGCGTATGGTGCAATTGGACATTGTGTTAGTGTTTTAAAATGAGTAAATACATAGCGTTAAATATAAACAAATATTTCAGAATGTAGATAATTTTAAAAAGCAACGTAAACGTATTACTGATGTAGGTCATTTGAAAATAAAAAAATAGATTGATTTTTTATCTTATAACTAAAAATAATTACTATGATAAACCTACATTTTTAAACATATTTAGAACCTTAATGAATACTAGACAATTCTGTAAGATTAGTAAAATAAATACATTAACCATGCCAAAAATATGTAGTGGTTTAGACAAAAAAGAATGGTATCTTATTTTGGTTCTGATTAAATTTAAATTTCACGGTTCTACAGTAAAAATAAAAATAATTTGTTTACCAAAAACAATTAACCAAATAGACACTATTATAACTATTATAAAATAATCTACTTAAAGACGAAGCGAGAAATTATGAAATATTAGCTAAAACAGAAGCGAGAAGTTGAACAATACCATAACACCAAAACAAAAACATAACAAGGGCGAGAATATTAGGTCTTGTGTTGATGATTTTTGGTTACCTCAGATAAATACGAATAACGATAAAAAACCGGTGAATGAAGCTGCTAATAAACATGTTGATGACGGTTATACTGCTAATAGATCACACAGGTATGATAAACAACGTGGCGTTGGCAAAAACATAATATGGACGGTTTCTGGAAAATTAATTAGAAACAATATTACAAATACAATACATTTTGATACTAATTCTAAAATACCCGAAAATCAACAATACCAGCTAGGGAGTCTATTATAAAAATATAGCGATTGCTTTGCCCAAAGTCCTATGGATTTAGGCTCTATTAATATAGGGGACATACCTATTCCACCAATGACGGAAGACTCAATCAGTTTACCATTTTATATGCTGTCACTAAGCGAACAGGGTGAACTTCAAAGACAGGTAGATAAATTATTATAAGATGGGTTAATTGTTCCATTCAATTCTTCGTATGCTAGTCCAGTATTTTTGGTTAATAAAGTAGACGGCACAAAAAGATTAGTTATAGATTACAGGAAATTAAATAAACAGGAAATTATCTCATAAAAATTTTCCAATTACGCACATATTTACAATATTTGATTGTTTAGAGGGGGCAAAATATTTAACATAATGGATATGCAACGGATTTTTTAAATATTTTGTTAGAGGAAACAGACAGACATAAGTTTGCGTTTATCACACGACAGGAATTATATGAGCAGACACGATTTTCTTATTATTAAAGTTTTAAAGAATCATACTAAGTCTAAGCCTAATAAATTGACTGAGCGTTAAAAGTTTAAAGAGCGAAGACAAATTCTAACAGAATCGATAATGGATTATATAGCAGTATTGAAGAATGTTGCCATCAACTGTGAGTTTTAAAGTAACCTAGAAGAGATGTTACGCAATCAGATTGTATGGGGAGTAAAAGATAATGCTATTAAGAACAAATTATTAGCTAAAGCGAATCTTACATATACAGATATAGTTGAAATAGCTTCATCAATGGAAATTGTTCAAAAAGATTTAGTTGAGTTTTCACACGCTTCATCAAAAGAACTAAACTTCATCAAGAATAAAGGACCAAGAAAAAAGGATACACTTGGAAGATTAGCTAAGAAGATAATTGATGATCAAAAACCAGAGGAAAGGAAGTGCATTAGGCAGTCAATATCATGCTGCAAAACAATACTCGGGGACAGTCAGTAACGTGTTATTTTTGTGGACTTAAAGGCCATAGAAAACCACAATGCTTTCACAGACATGTTTAAAGTACCATAAAGTAGGACATTTAGAACGGGTATCTAATAGAAATGATTTTTGTAATAATATAGTAGGTTGTAATGTTAATGAAAAAGAGGATAATGGTAATAAAAATGATAATTTTTTGTTTCAAATTAATAAACAAATTAGCTATGTTAATCCTTATACCGTTAAGCTGTTAGTACAAAATAAATTGTTAACTTTTTTAATTGATATGGGATCAAGTATTTTAGCAATTTCAGAGAAAGAGTTTTATGCTAATACAGAAATAAGGAAATTGGGTATAGCCAAATATGATGAGTTTTAAGAGTTATGTGGGTGATCCAATAGTTCTTAGAGGTACAGTAAATGTTGAAATTAAATATAAGAATATCAAAACACAGTAATGTTGTATGTTGTTCCAAATGAAAATGCATGTATATTAGTTTGTGATGAAATGGAAACACTAAAGATTGGTTAGTGATTTAATAGTATTGTTAGTGAGTATGCAGATGTGTTCACAGACAAACTGGGTCCTTATAATAAGGGAAAATTTGCATTATTTATCAACCTAGAGACGAAGCTAAAAATTTTTAGACCAAGACTTATCATATGCACTTAAAGACAATGTAGGAGAAGAATTGGATAGGTTAGTGGCTCTGGATATCATTAAACCAACTAAAAGTGCAGATGGGGGACACCAATTGTAGCTGAATTAAAACCAGATCAAACTGCAAGAATTTGCGTTAACTATCAACTATTAATCACTATCAACCTACACTTAATAGTTAACAAGTATCCTATACCAAGGGTAAGAGATCTATTAAGCTCGTTAGTGGAAGGACAAATTTTTAGTAAGTTAGACTTATCACAAGTATATCAGCAGGTAGAATTAGATGAGTGTTCACAAAATCTTATTACAATTTTTACTCACAAAGTGCTGTTCAAGTATAAAAGATTGTGTTATGGAGAGGCATCAGCACCAGAACATTTTCAGGTTGAAATAGAAAAAATATTTGTTGGGGTAGAAGGAATACTAATTTTTTTTTTGATGACATATTAGTTTATGTAAATGCATTAGAACATCTAAACCGTTTGAGAGAGGTATTAAGTAGGCTAAAGAAGTATGGTTTAACAATAAGGAAAGAGAAATGTGAATGATTCCAAAAATCTATTACTATTATATTATATAATCTATTATTTTTGGGACATAAAATTGATGAAGCTGGTATTCATGTACCAGAGGAAAGATGTGAAGCTATTAAAAAGGCACAAAAAAGTAATGCTGATGCATTATTCAAATTACCCTTAAATTATAAAAATTTAAATGAAGAAAAAGAAGAAACCTATTTAGGATTTGATGATGTGAAATTTATTTGAGGATTAGAAATAGAGAAGTAGACAAAAATAGACTATGTGTTGAAACAAGTATATAATATTTTTCTGTTAGGTGAGGGGTCAGAACAAATAAATTAAATTAGTGATGAATTAAGACATTTTTACCATAGGCGTAATGAGTTATCTATAAAAATGAATGTATTATGTGGGGTTTTAGAGTTATAATTCTAAAATGTTTACAGATTGATTTATTAAAAGAACTATATTCTGCTCATTTGGGAACAGTAAAAACGAAGGCCAATGCTAGATCATACTTTTGGTGGCCTAAAATAGATAAACAAATTGAGCAAATTACCAAAGGCTGTACACTTCAAGATTTTCAAGATAATATTATAAAAAAAGTTCAATATAAAAAACATAGCACCTTTAAAAAAGATCCTAGACCACAAATTTAAAAAAATAGTTTTACCAGTTAGATTACCTATTACTACAACATTGTGAAATATTCAGTTTTTAGATAAATATAAAATAATTGCGCTGGACAGAAGGATAAATACACAGAGTTTAGTGACCGCTCACCAAATAATTATCTCAGTTTTTTTTATAGAAATAAATAAAAACAATTTTTATCTAGAAACAATTAATACCTACCTAAATAATATATCATTTTACATTAAAGTTAATATTTTATTTTATTATTTATTTTTATTAAATTATTAAGGTATTCACGAACATTTTCATTTTCTATTCCTGTTGAAAAATAATCCCAAGTTCCATAGCTCAGTATCAATACTATTTTCTAGAATATATCTTTTATCATCATATGTATTAAGAGCTTTTCTTGTTTTGTTTAACAGTATAAATATTATGTTTATCTGTTCTGAAAGTATTCTGTTTTACATATTTTGAATTTTTATTTTTTTAACAATAATAAAAATCATTAAAACATAATTCATTTTTAACTATGGGTTTTTTCACACTTTTGCTTTTTTAATTTCAAATACTTTATATGTATATAGTTTAGATCTTAATCCAACAAATTCAGTCATTATTTGACCATTAAGTTCATCATTGAGTTTATCTGGAACTTTTTTATTTATTCTAGGTAATTCATATTTATTATTCTTGGATAATCTGAAAAATCAAACTAATTTAAAAGTTGTTCATTCTTTTGTACATCTTTTTTGCATTTCTCTCCTATATTTTTATTATTTGCTTTAGAATATCAAATACTAAATTGAGATAAAACTCATCTTATTCCCAGTTCAAACATAAACACATATCAATATTTGTTAACCATTCTAATTCTACACCTGTCTTTTTAAGCATAGTGTTCTATGCAAACCCTGGAGTTTTATAATAAATAACAAGATTCAAATTAAAATATATTAATGAAACATCTCTATAATTTTCCATTATATCAGTAAGTAACAATACATCTATTTTGTTATAAAGTATAATTAACTCTCTTATATTTTTACTACGAATGTTATCCATATTTGATGAGCGATTTCATATGCATTTCGTGTTACATGTTTACCTGTATTAGAGCTGTACAATTTATCTATAGGAGGTAGAGATTCTTCATTATATTTTTCTGTAGAATCCATGTATTCATAAGGATACGCTAAATTTCCCATTACTAAATTAAATTGTTCTGGATAATGTTTAGATAACTCTTTAAACTGGTATTGTTTTAAAGTATTTTATAATTTTTATAAAGAACTAGATAAGAACTTAAAAGAATCAAGAAATCCTAATTCAACTTTATTAAAAAAAGGTTTTCCTTTTTTTAGTTAATTGATCTATTTTCTAATATCATACAATTTTTGAAAATGATATATAATTTTCTTCACTATTTGCAATTGTTTTTATAATATCTTTATCAATACCAAACTCTTTTATGAATAAATGAGCGTCATAAGCAGATATATTGTGAAAAAAAACTGGAATAAATCTAGGTACTTTATAATTTATATTACATATAAAATGAGCTGCACCTCTATATTTTCCCCATTGAGTTATCCTGATCTCTAATCTTTCTCATATTATCTTCAAGTGCAACAAGGAACACATTTCTTTTTTTCTCATATTTCTCAATCTTCTTATTATATATTTTAATTTCATCTTCCAACTCTTTAATTTTATCATTACATCTATGACATTCATAAGTATAGTCAGCTTCATGTATTTCGTAATCAAATATTGGATTTCCTTTTATTTCAATATACCAATATTTCATAACAACATCAAACATTTTGAATTGCCAATATTCTATAATTTCATTAAGTATTCCTTGTCTCTTCTCAATTATTGGTGCTAAATCCATCAAAGATTTTTTGCACATATGACAGTTATTTTCTTTTTCATATTCAGTTTCTTGTTCATTGGTTATTATCTTAGGTTTTTCAATATCTAAATAATTTTTTGCAATTAAAAGAACCTCTTTTGTTATTTTGTTATAAAAAGTTTTTGCTGCATCTTCACCTGAATATGTTACTAGATTACTGCTATTACTATTAGTATATTTAACATTAAAACAAAAACTTCAAATCTTAAAATAAATCTTCCCCACTTCTCAAGTACAACAGTGGTCTATATATGATGCTAAATGTAAATAATAGTTGCATTTCAAACAGTTCAAATAGTAAAAATTTAAGGAAAATTTAAGAGCTTAAAGCTTAGAAAAAGTTTAAAAATAAAAAATAAAAATAGTGTCTATGATATTATACATAAAAACAAAGGCCCCATGAGCATTTCTCAGAGTAATTCAATGAATGATAGAAGATTAATAACAAAAATTATAGCATATGATGTATTGTGTGAATAAATCATGCCACACATAGCCATGTTAAACATATCACTGTGACCCACACGAAAAGCTGTGATAAAAAATTGGCACTATCTGGATGTAGCACTGCATCAAATTGAGCTAATAAAATCCATTATTAAACACAAATATTAAATTCAATTTTAAACATATGTTTAACACAAACTGTATTACTGTTATTTTGATTACCTTCATTTTGATTATCAGAAAATGATGGAAAGTTAAAAGGAAATTGTCCCATCCTAAATGAAAGATAGAGTTCTTCAATATATTCAGGGGTATCCTGAAAAAAAAAAACATTAATACAAATTTTTTGAATCGATAAATTTGAAATAATTTAAGATTACTGTGGTAGACTCCAATTCAATTCCATGGCCAGATGGCCTTGGCGGTACTTTGTTACTAGAAAAAATAAATATCTCAATGATAAAACGTAATGTATAAATCAGGGTTCATTATTAAACTGTTATTATAAAAGATAATATTAAAAAAATATATTACTGATAAATAATAATTTATAAGTTAAGAGTTAGTTTTGAATTGTATTTGCATTTATTTATATATTATGTTAATAATAATTTGTGTTCATTTAAACAATAAATACAACTAATTTAATATCTACATATATTAACACATGTGTTATATACATAACAACTTATAGTTGATTTAAATTAATAAATATTTGTCAAAATTATCCATAGTTTTGATAATTTACCATATTATCTGCTAATTAATGGTTTCTAGTATAAATATTACATTATGTATAATGTTATTACTAGTACTACTAAAAATTACTAGTGCAATATGAAATAATTAATTAATAATAAGTATACATCACACCCCATATATTTGTAAACTATGATAAGCATTTGCACCTATGTAAGTTTCTACTCATTGCTGCTTATGGGTGCAACCACTGCTGTTGGTGAGATGTTGGGGAGGTATTAGAAGAGTAATTTAATGTATATATCCCCAAGGGGTTCACAGTTTAATAACCGGTTATGTATTTCTTTAATAATATTTGTTTAATATTGTACCTATTTTCTGATTATAGCTTATAGATGAACTCCAGCCCAACCCGAGTCATATTTTAACAATTGGTAAATCAACTGACACGTCCGATGACGAAGACGATTTGTTCGATTAATTCAATTATGTACCTACCTAAATAATAGTAAATTTGTATAGTATGTTTCTTTAAAAAAAAACATTGATATATATGTATAATGATATAGCGTTTTTCATTTTCTTTAAATAATAAGTATATATAAAATGGTGGGTGAGTGAGTGAGTTGACTCGAAGGAGTTGACTTTTTAAGGTGAATGGATGAATAAATTCAGTGTGGTATAGTTCAATGACTCAGTGCTACCACTGGTTCAAAACAATGATTCACGAATCGGCTGGTTCAATACAATTCACGAAACACGGATGTGTGTTATCAGTCCGACAATTCGCCTATACAGCCTGCTATGCCACAATATACATAATATGAAATTTTATTATTGTGTAATGACAGGTGATGTTATGACGTTATGTTATGATAAATTAACTAGGTATGTCAGCAACTTGTGATGGCAGTGATATTAAAACGTAAAATTCATAAATATTAGATAATAGATAATATACTGAAATTGAATGATATAAATGTATAATAGTTTTGTGTAGTACAAGCATGTTGCAATTTTTGCAAGTCATTTAGTAATTTAATACATTTTGTGTTAGTGTTTGTTTGGAATAAGTTTCTTTTTTCATGTTTGACAAAACAATATTACCGGAAGCATGAGAAATAAAAAATATTTAATACATTATACAATAGATATTAAGAAATATTTTGGAAAACAATCTAAAAATAAAAATAATTGTTGGCAAAAAATTGCATAAGACTTAAATTCAAGTATTATAGGGTGTGTAAGTACCAAGTAGGTATAAACTAAACAAAATATACATTGTTTTGAATAACAAGGTAATTGGAAACCTAACTTATATTTTAGCCCAGAGATGCCACAAGTTAACGCTTAAAATATGAAATATACTTATTCGTCGTATAAATTATTATTTGGTAGAAAATATATAGTAATAACTATATAATAAGTTATTCTGCATTTTATTCATCAAATGGCTTTACTAGTTTACTCCGACATGGAAAAGCGAAAATTATCAATTTTTCTTATCTGTCAAATAACTCGTGTTATCGACGAATACATGTGATTGAAATACCGGGCCATAATGAAATGAACTGGGAACTTGATAGTTGACTCACTGAGTTGATGATTCGTGATAAGGAGAATTGTTTAAATTAATGAATTGGCGACTTAGGAGTTGACTCGCCGAAAAATTTATATAATTTAGGTGTATTTAGACTTGAAATCTGTTATTTTAAGTTTGTTATAATTTTATTGAAAACCTATGATGGCAACTTCTAATAGTGAATCCAAATCATCTTGTAAAAACATGGATAATAAAGAAAACGATACCCAGAATGACCATAATACAATGTTTGAATGTAACATATGCTTGGATATTGTCAATGACCCAGTTGTCAATGTTTGTGGCCATTTATTTTGGTTTGTTTCATTGCTAAATAATAATAAATTATTATTAATTAATATTTTTTGTTTAATTAACTGTAATATGTGTTATGTGTTAATATCAACTAAAAACAGGAGTACCTAATATAATACATTTCTGTCACTTGCATATTTTTATAATAGGTAATTTTATAAGTCAAAGTCTATTAAAACAATATTAAGTAAAGTATTTACTTATTTGCTTTAAAAAATGTGGTGTTATCTATTTATTCTTACATTTGATTGCATTCTTTACAATGCCTAAAACTTATACCAGATTTATTACAGTATAAATAGAATAAGGTTGAAATATTGTGAGAGTCATATTTAAAATATTCACTATTTACTTGAAAAAAAAAACTGTTACTTGGTAATATTTATTGGATGCCCAAGTTATTTATAGTTAAACCTGTTGAAAGAAATTGTAGATCATCTTATATTTAGAGGTAACTTTAACTCGCTATTCATTGAAGCTGGCTGTGTACTAAAGCCAAATTTACCAAAACTAATAAGATAATTTGCACTTAATTTTAATAAGTGATGTTGAACATGTTTCTCACAGTAAGCAACTCAGAATAATCACATGTGCATATAAACTTTATAGTTGTGATATTACAATTTAAGTGGTCCACAATACAAATACTTTAAAGGCTATTATAAGCAAATATTACATATTTCTTTATCTTTTATTAAAAAAATATTGTATATGATTGTATAATTATTATACACTAAATGTTTACTATTTCATGATAATAGGTTAATGATTAGTATTTATTAATAACTTTTAACTAGGTATTTAATTTATCATATAATAATACAAATTTCTAAAATTATAATTTAATTATGTAATAAAATTTCAGCTGGCCATGTTTGTATAAATGGTTGGAAACAACTGAAAGTTGTCCAGTGTGTCCAGTATGTAAAGCTGACATGAACAAAGATAAAGTAATCCCAATTTATGGGCGCAGAAATGTCAAACAAGAAGATCCCCGGTATTTTCTAGAACCATATAAATTATTATTCATATGATATAAAACTATTTAAAACAAATTAATCTATAATAAAGTAAAAATCCAAAAGTCTGCAAAAAATATTAAATTCTCAATTGATAACAAAAATTATTCTACTGTTTTACAAAATATATTTGTACTAGAAACCATTAATTAGCAGATAATATGGTAAATTATCAAAACTATGGATAATTTTGACAAATATTTATTAATTTAAATCAACTATAAGTTGTTATGTGTATAACACATGTGTTAATATATGTAGGTATTAAATTAGTTGTATTTATTGTTTAGATAAACACAAATTATTATTAACATAATATATAAATAAATGCAAATACAATTCAAAACTAACTCTTAACTTATAAATTATTATTTATCAGTAATATATTTTTTTAATATTATCTTTTATAATAACAGTTTAATAATGAACCCTGATTTATACATTACGTTTTATCATTGAGATATTTATTTTTTCTAGTAACAAAGTACCGCCAAGGCCATCTGGCCATGGAATTGAATTGGAGTCTGCCACAGTAATCTNATCTTTCATTTAGGATGGGACAATTTCCTTTTAACTTTCCATCATTTTCTGATAATCAAAATGAAGGTAATCAAAATAACAGTAATACAGTTTGTGTTAAACATATGTTTAAAATTGAATTTAATATTTGTGTTTAATAATGGATTTTATTAGCTCAATTTGATGCAGTGCTACATCCAGATAGTGCCAATTTTTTATCACAGCTTTTCGTGTGGGTCACAGTGATATGTTTAACTTGGCTATGTGTGGCATGATTTATTCACACAATACATCATATGCTATAATTTTTGTTATTAATCTTCTATCATTCATTGAATTACTCTGAGAAATGCTCATGGGGCCTTTGTTTTTATGTATAATATCATAGACACTATTTTTATTTTTTATTTTTAAACTTTTTCTAAGCTTTAAGCTCTTAAATTTTCCTTAAATTTTTACTATTTGAACTATTTGAAATGCAACTATTATTTACAATTTTCAGTTAGTGACATAGTTTTTACATAAATTACAAATATTTTTAAAATGATATTGTATGAATTTATTGCAAATTTTTTAATAATAATATTTTAGAATTTGGAATATTAATTTCTATTGTATTCTATTATTTTTTTTTGAAATTACTATTTCTAATTCCCATATGTATAAATTTGTGTGTTAATATAAAATATTGTACTAGTCATTGTAAGATAAGTAGCTTAAGTCACACTAATGTTTCTCAAAAATAAATTAAATGGACATATAGCTGTAAAACATATAGTGCAAACATATCATCATACTGAAATGGATATAATGTTAGAGAATCTTAATAAGTTATATTTTACTTTTACAATAGTTAAACTCATTCAAACAATTTTCCATGTAATTCAATTCATGAACACCTCTCAATGTCAACTATCCTCAATAAGAAAAGAACAAATATTTTCATTGAGAGTATTTATTAATAATCAGACATTTGTTTTATTGAATTTCATTATTGCATAATCTCATATATTGATATGACTAGCTAAAAACAAATAGAAAATCCAAATGTTAAATCTAATATAATGACAGAGTTGAGAAGAAAGTCAAGTATTAAACACAGTTAAAGTAGATAAACATATTTATAAATAGAGATAAATTTAGAGAGTATAATATAGTTTTTATTTCCATATATTACAATTTATGATAAATAATAATTACTTCATCATTACATTATCTGCTGCACTATTCATTGTGTAATTGAAAAGTTGAATTCTCAAATATTTACAATTTTCATAAATTTTTTTTTCTACATATCTGATGACTAGGTGTTAGATATATTTTGATTTTTTTTTTCATTAAGTCAATTGAATCATAGTAACCCTCCCTAATAATAAGCAACATATGTTTATAATACATTAATATGGCAATTTAATAAATTACTAATTTAAGACTATAGACTGTATAAGTATTTATAGAATCTATGTTTTATTAAAAAAAAAAATTATGTATATTATTTTTTTTACTATTTAATGTTTTTGTATAAATTGAAATTATTTCTGTAAAACAAATTATAATAATTATATTTTTGTTTATTGTAAAATTGATGATAAATTAGGATTGGAAACTTACACCAAAACTCTTGGCGGTGTTAATTCAAAATCTAGTTTCCTACAAAAATACAATGAATGAATTATTTTAAAAACATCACAGAAATGTTGTATTTAGAAAGTATAAATTAGTCCATTTATTATTATTATTATTTAATATGATTTATGATAAATAAAATATTATTTCATCATTGAATTATTTGCTCAAAACAGTTGTAATTTCAATACTTTTATGTTTTTATTTAATTTATTTTTTTTTAAAATTCTAATTTTTATTTTATAGATTCTATTATTTTAAACATTTTTTTTTTCATTATAAATAAAAAAAAGGTTTCCAAGAAGTTATAGGCTTTATTTTTTTAAGATTATTTAAAATAAAAAAAATTGCATCATATATAGACCACTGTTGTACTTGAGAAGTTGGAAAGATAGGATATTGAGGGTAATTTAATTTATATCTAAAAGCAATGATTTGTTTTTAAAGTTTGTAATATTTATGATTTATGCTAAAATTTGTTATTCAAACTAATAAAAAAAAAATTCTACATTACACTCAATTTGTAAATAAACAATAAGTATTACCTATAATAATGAACTTGTTAAATTTTCTAGCATTCCTGTTTTAAACTAAATTTTTATCCACTGAGTACTTGCCAAATAATATGTATATAAAAAGCTGGCAAAATAAAATGTTTCTTAATAGCTCAAAAGTTTACCAAATGTACCACAACTAGTAAAGCCATCTAGACATTTCTGGTTTCTGTTAACATTTCTAGGCTATGAATATTTTTAATTAAATTGAAATAATTTTGGTTAACTATTAAAAAAACTACACAGAAAATCAAAAACTGACTCTCTCAGTCACCAACTACATCCAAAATTCAACAAAAAGTTTTCTTGTTGTTTTTCTATTGAAGTAATTTTTGTCAGAAAACAAGTTGTAAATATTAAATTGCTTTTTTCTTATAATTTTCTCTTAAATTTTTTTTACAAATTATTTTGAAAACCGACAAAAATATCAAAAAATTACCTCCCCAATGCACCATAATATGTTATAAGTGACATTAGTTTAAAAAAAAAACAAAGGTTTTGAAGTGCATCTGGAAAATTATCTATATTACTTTTATTAAACATCCAATGGATGAAAACAAAAATCTTTTTATCTTTAAGAAGCATATCTAATCAAAAAAATTAGGAACAGTTTATATAATAGTCAAGAGTTTTAATTTAATTATTCTATATGATAATAATATATAAAACATAATATGTACATTTGTAAATTTCAAAATACTTAAGTATAACTAGAATAATAATAGAATAATATTAGTGGAATTTAAATTAAAATAGTATCAATTCTAACAATGTTAGATTAGTATCTACCGATTTACAGAATATAATAATAATACAAATAATCATAATATAATAATTTATATTATGATTATTTTCGAAATCGAAAAACAACCTATTTAAAATACGTCCCCATACCAATTTCCTTTCAGAAAAGGTGCTACACGTAAAAATCGGAGAAGATCTTTGGTTTTGGCGTTTGCGGAGGATCTTTGTTTTGCTTGAGAAAAGCCCAGTCGAGCTACAACGCAAAATTGATGTTGCAGGTTACTCTTGGCAGGTTGGGGCTGAAAATTAACCCCTCCAAGTTTGCGTCATTACTCTTATCTGGAAAATCACCGGCTAGTGTTAGAAATTCTACATTTTCAATTGGTTCAATTTTCAATTGACAATGCCACTGCTTTAGTTCACGAAAACACGGTGCTAAAGTCAAAGCAGTGACTGTAGTAAGCGCAAGTAATGCGCACTTTGCATAACAATTTTAGGGCTCAGCTCTTATTCTTAAACCGGACCAAGACAGACCTATGGAGTGCGTGGTGGCGCATCCTGCATCTGCACATTTTATGAAGAACGGCGACTATATGTACTTTGCAAACTGGTGATTTATGCACCGCGCAAGGTTAAATCTGGTTCCTTCGAAGCACAATTCTATAGTCGCAAGGATTAAGAAAGCCGCCGCCAGCAAACACGAAATTTTATTTGAGAACCAAGCCTGTGAGAGGGCCGGATTGCGACCAGACTTAGTCATTCGAAAAGGGAATTCTATTTAGATACGCCACTGTCGCCTTCCATAATCGAATAGCGACCCTTGAGGCTATGGCCGAAGAAAGGGTCAAAAGGTATCACGCCCTCAGTATTGAATTTGTTTCTATGTACGTCGCTGAAGTGAGCATGGTTCCGTTTGTGGTGGACGCGTTGGGCTCTTAGTACCTATTCAACGAGCTATTCTTGAAGTCAATTTCCAGCCCTAAACATGCTGTGTATTAGCGAGGTGATTGGATTCACCCGCGATATTTATATTGAGCACTTGATGGGCATCTCTCAATTAGCAGCCGGCGCTGATGCCTCGTAAAAATTATTATTATATTATTGTTATTATTTTTATTTTTATTTTCTCCATTGTTTTATCTCCCCTTCATCTGTAAAACTATTAAGAATTTGTTTAAATAAAATCTGTTCATTATCAGCTTAAGATTTGGTATACTCCTCATCGGGGAGTTCAAATGTTAAACTAATTTTTGGAAAGCAGGAGGAGAATTTGGGGCTTGCTCCTATTCCACCGCGAGTTATCCCGGTATTGCAGTACTACCAGAAACAGTCCAATATCAAATATGAATTTATTCTCCCAAAGTACCAACAGTTCAAATCGTTATCCTACATTCGGTTTTTGCATTAAATGCACAGTCTAAATATAACGAACGTTCCAAAATTTGTCGGAACGATCATTAGGATTCTTCTCCGATAAAATGTTTACAGAAGTGGATGGTGATTGGTGGTATACTGCATAATATAGACCACATACCTACTTACAGCATTTGGTTGCAAAAACCGTCATGATATATCATTATTATGTCTCATTTATACATGTCATTAAAACCAAAACAGCAGTAAAATTTGTATTTATTTCAGTCATTACAAAAAATTTCACAATTTTTTTACGGTACATATGGTATCTATTTTATTTAAAAAAATATTGAGTGCCAGTGTTTTTTGTGTTTTAATAATTTTAGTTTATTTTCCTTCTAACAATAATTGGTATCTATTTCAAACATATAGTATAATAATGGATAACACACAATTCCGCACAATATACCTTTTTTCCTACACGATTCCGCACATTTTCATAATACAAACATTTTTTTTTATCTGACCAGAATGTAACACGATTCCACATACAAATTGCTGCGATGTTACCAGTTATAGTAAAAAATATATATAGGTAATTAAAATATTAATTTTTATCAAATTTTATTGTTATAAAAATAAATGAATTATTTGGTAGTAAGGTATTAGTTATAATTAACTAAAAATAAAGTATATAAAAAATGTATAATTAAATGTCAAAAAGTAAATAATAGGTAATGATTATTTTTTGTCAAACGCTAAAAAAGATTAAATAAATATAATTCTAAAAATAAATACAAAAAAATAATACAATTGTTTTCTTTGATATCTAGGACCTAATTATGATAAAAATTGTATGATATCAATTTTATAAGATTTATACTTATTTTATGCATTTATGGTGAATTCCATACCTTTTTTTTTTTTTGTTCAACATTTTCTCATCATTATATAATGTAATCGATCTGAGTTTAGTTTCAGTTTCCGACTGAAATTTCATCAATACTTTTAGGACTAAATAAATATGTGAGTGAGGATGTTATATATACGGTGAAAACTTTCGGAAGCATTAGTTGTCCTATAAAATATAATTAATAATAATTATTACTCACAGAAATATTAATGTTGATTCAACTAATGTTACCTTGGATTCATTGATAGCTTTTCTGCCCACAATTCTGGTGAATACAAAAATTTATCTTCAATGTAATTTTTTAAAATATAATCAGTGAACAAATATCCTACATCGTTGGGACAAGTTCAATGAATGCTTCATTTACTGCAAGGAAAGGCAAAGCAATAAATCTACGTAGGTATTTCGAGTTTTATCTTTTAAAAAAATATATACTAGTAATAAAATCTATTTTTATAACTATGTATTGTGTAGCTGTAAAAATACTTAGGTGAATAATCAACTATTCCATCACAAAATAATTCTGAACAAAATTGAGCCAAGAAATTAATGTTTTGAACAAAAAGCTGTTATGTGTTTTTCTGTCAAATAAATAATCTGTTTATCGTAACCGAAATATCGAAACACTCACGACAACATCGCATAGAATTTGTGTGCGGAAACGTGAATCATTATTAATAATATAGTCTCAGAAAAATTAACGGTAACACCGTTGTTCGTAGGTAGGTAAGCATAGGTACCTATTCGACCATTATTATAAATTCGGTTGGACGTTTCGTATTATTCGTTACCCGTTGACGCTGATACTTTGCACAGACGTAGTTCTAGGTCGGGAATAACACAATTATAGGAGACCCTTTTATTTCTAATCAACTTCTAAGCAGATGACGGGTTGTAATATCGGTATGAATAAATCTTAATCTTAAATCTGTAATATTATTTAATTACTCTGAAAATTAACGACACGCAATGGCGGCTACAGTACAATTTCCACCCGGCGGTTTTGAGTTCGAACCCAGGAAGTGCTGCAAGGCTCATTTTTAAAATTTTTGTTTCTCTAATTTCACCACTTATTTATTGCCTTTCGAACTAGGTATATTGTTATTTATTCATATAATATGTTTCGTTTGAATTTCCTACGCAATATTAATAATAATAATAATAATAGTTCGTTCAACAACTTGTATCTTCAGCACGGACAAGAAAATTACGCATTTTAAAACATTTACGGATAATAATATAGATACCAGAAGCGATAGATACGGGGAAATCACATTTTTATTTTATCCGTTTAATATTAACACGGGCAAAGCCGCGAGGGACAGATTATTAGTAGGTATTGTGTCTACATTTTTACTTTTACCCACGAAACATAATTACTAAAGTAATATTTTATGGCATTTGTTAGAATTTACAAATATTTTTTTATAGCAATATTGAGTGGTATCCGTTAAAATATTTAAAACCTATACATTTAAGCAACACCTATAGGTTACATGCCACTACTATACGATATTCATCATTTTTAATTGTTATGATGGATAACAAAATAATTGAAAGCAACAATTTTGTTTGTTAATTAAATCATTTACTAATTAATTAATTTTTATTTTGTTCACATGTAAATTTGTTTACTGTTTTTTTTTATGTCCTTTATTATTATGATCTCATCAATTTCTTTTTTTCTGAATGTATAATAATCAAATTTGTTTTTATTTTTAGGTTTTGTTTATATGTACATCAATTCTTTTTCCAATAAGTCACATAATTAAATGTGAACTCCCTGCTCCGACCACAAGCTTCGTTTAAAGAGAGTAAGTATCGATTCATTTTTTTATTAAATTATATTAATACTCTGACTTAGATTAAGTTAATCTAATTGTGTAATGTAATATTAGGTATTTCTCTAATTTAAAATAAATAAATAAAATTGTAATCAAAATTTGAACGAAATGATTCTTAGTCATTCTGAATTAAACACTAAAGATAGTAGTATTTTATGGGCATTGGATATTAACTGCAGTTTCGTGTGTATAAAGATAGTTTCTTGTTTTGAATCACGCAGTTTTTTAGTAGGTATTTAAAGTAAGTAGAATAACTCAGATATTTTTTGTTCAAATTTCGATTAAAATACATCAAAATTTTCAAACAAATCATCTGACTGATAATTCGAATTAAAACATGTAAATTATCAATAAAAAAAAACCAAAGTTGTTATTGTCACAGGATACTCCTTAAGTGTTGTAAAAAATCTATGTGTATGCCTATTCGAATATCCTCTTTCATCACACTTAAAAATTTCAAATATCAGAATTTGAATTTATGCATAAATTGACCATACAAATATTATTTTCCATGGGAAACAGATAGAAATAGTGATGATTATTATTCAGTATGTAACATGAGTGGTTAAAGGGAGGGAGCAGGACGGGCCATCTTCCCTCCCGGACTTCAAAATATCAAATATAGTTTTATTTTAAGTACTTTTTAGAGTTTAATTTTATTATGCAGCATTATGCGAATATAAACCGGTACAATTAACAACTATAACAAATATATTTATAAAGAGATTGGAGAAGTCATTTAGGTAGATAGAAAAGGATATATTTATTTGTCGTCACCTTCATGAGTATATTCACAGATATACATCTATTGTTTAATTATATAACATGTGAACAGTGACAGTGTCAATGAAACATCCGATATTATATTTATATAAAGTTAAGGCGTGACAGACCTTTAGAAAAAAAGAAGGAAATTAAATGACTTTCCCATGGGGTATGTGTACAGTCAATGTTTTAAGAACAACTGAATAGTGGTTGTATGTGCGCCTAGGTATATCATAATATAAATTACAAACTATTATTAAAATGTAAAGGGCATATAACAAAGAATTTTAACGAGTATTATAGGTACCGACCGCCTCAATGTGTAAGGGGGAAAAAAATAAGCAAGATATTACCAGGCTGATGCCCACGACGGTGACCCGATATTGTAATCGGTCATCTTGTTGGGTTTGGGTATCGGGGGAACAAAATATATTTGTAAGTTCGTCTTCATCAGTGGTCTCCAAAGAAAAAAAGAAAAAACAGCGCGGCGGTGGCAACTCGCTGGGCCGCCGTCGTCGGGCATGCGATATTCTATGACTGCTAATAGAGGATTACACGGATTGTGATGGTCAGTGCTAACAGGATCATTGAAATTAAAATTCGTATAATTATCTTTATATATATGGTAATTACTAAAGTGGGTTTGCGAGATGTAAATAATAGTGGTCGGGGACATTTGAACTTGGCGTGTTGATATTGCTGCGGATGTCGTTATTTTGGCTGCACACTGGTGGTGGTTTTAAATTGTTGTTGAGTGATGCATAGTTAGACTACCGACCGACAACGGCTGCAGAGAGCCTGCTCGCAAAACGCGCTGTGACAGATAAGCAGTTCGCGAGCTTTATTTCAAATTTAAATTGTGGCGGTTTAAAACGGAAAGTTACAAGGTCACTAACAACGAGTTTAGATTTAGGTGTGGCGGATTTTTTTAAGTTGGTACTGCTGTAGGATGCTGTGGCTAAAATATTTCTCTCATCATTTTTCTGACAACTAGGCAGCTGTTCTCGTTAATAATTTGTTCAGTTGCCATATTTCGGGAGGTAGCTTTATCGATTTTTAGATAGTGTTGACTAATAAATACCATTTTGCACTTGAAATAACTCATAAGTTTTATTCTTTTTTAAATTGTTTTCTTCTGTGAAGTTTTCGTTGTGTGGGTGTGTGAATACAATAACTATATTGTATTTATATATTTTATAGTATATATCTATTAAATTATATTTCTTTACATATAACACGATGCCACTTTTGTGTTTAGTCAATAATTGTAGTAACTCCTACATTTTAACCAAAGAAAAAAAAATTAAATTGTTTCAGATTACTGAAGATTTAACTCTGTAAATATATAATTTAGAATAAACATAATAAATTATTTTAAAATTGTATGTTACAATCTTTGGTTTTGATATATTTTAGTTATAAACACTGGTTATCGAACTGTGGAAGACAAGACTTAAGTGAATTGCCAATTGACGTTCTTCATAATTATTATAGGATTTGTCCGAACCATTTTAAAGAAAACATGTTTACTAACAATGAAAAAACAACATTATTACCAGGTGCTATACCTACTGAATTTGGTAAGGATCTTTATTTAGTAAATTTTTTTTTATTATAAAATATTTGTTTATTTATTCATATAAATCAATGCTATTCAGATTTTTATAATAATATACAAGAAATATTAATGAAAAACTTTAATTACACAAATTAATAAGTTAAGAGGACGCTATATTATAGGCATGCGCTGTTTTCATCTTACTACCGTGTGACATAGCAAATTTTTCTTCAGCAGGAACAACACTGTACGGATAATTTTAATATTATAGTGAATTCACATTTGACCTAGTATTAAACTAAAAGACAAAAATATTATCCGTGCTATTAATAGTTTTAGATTCTGAGTGAAGTAAAGAAGCTTATGGTTTTACAAAGATGTTTGTTTTATTATATTTTTTCCATAGACAACTTTTCTATCAGAGATCTTGCTCTGATTTTTAAGTGTAGCACCTTTTCTGAAAAGAAATCGGTGTGAAGAGGTACTTCTTCTTCCTCGAACAGGTCTTTTTTCGATTTTCCCAAGAGTTTCCCAGTAAATGTGAAAAACCAGGAAAAACATGTGAAAACAGGGAAAAACGTAGGGAAAATCCGTACAATATTAAACAAATATTATTAAAGAATATATATGATATCTATTTAATTATTTTAGCATAATATGACATACATATTGTTGAAAAAGCATCAGTATCAGCTGAACTCCGATCAGAAGCATTTTTTCATTAGCAATGGTTTATCGTTACTTACAGATATACATTAAATTCCATTCTGCATCCTACCTCCCCAACATCCCACCTATTACAGTGACTGCTCCCATCATGCGAAGTATGTCCGTTTTTTTTATAATTTATTTCCATATTTTCATACTATGACTCATCAATTTTATTATATGATTTACACTCTTGTACACTCTTGTACATCTCTCTTCCATTTAAAAATATAGATTACAAAACTTTTCCTATTTATATAACTATCTTGGAATACCTTTTTTTTTCATAATTTAAATTTTTAAGCGAAATTTAAGGCTTTTTAAATCGTAATAGATATATTTTACACACTCATATTATCTCACTTAAAAATTCAAATCACGAAAAATATTACACAGATAATGTTCTTATCTTTAAGTTTGGTAATATATTAATATGTCAATTCACTTAAATATTAAAACTACTGACAGGAGTTATTCCTGCTGAACGAAAGTTTGCTACGAAGACAGAAAATGTGAAAATAATAGAACCAAAATATATTTTAGCTGAAACAACTTTTATCAACTTGTACGCAAATTTTTTTTTCATATAAAAAAATTTTCTCAAGTTCTCTAAAGAAGATCTTTTATTGTTTTGGAAGATTGCTGATGAATCTTAATTTTTAAACAGAAAATGTTAAATAAGAAGACTGAAAGTTGATAACTGTAATATAAATTTGAAAATCTTCCATTATAATTATGACAAATAAAACATAATTAACAGCTACAGCATGTCACTATTGTGTTATTATTTATGGTGGTAACCAGTCATTATCACATATTTTTTTTATTGTTAGCTGTAATATTTTTAGAAGAATGGATTTTAGAACAAGCGTCTAGCGACAGGGAATCCGAATGGCTACAAAATGGCTGATTTCGTTATTATTATTAGTTATCACCGATTTTATCATCAGTTCTTTAATTCTTATTCAAAATCATGATGAATAAAACTAATAACATTAATAATTGGGTAATAAATATTAATATTAGTACTACTGTTAATGCTGCCATATACTTAACCTTAATATATAGGTTAAGAAAATAGAATACACACTTTATTAAAAATTCTGTAATCATTTTGTTTTATAAAATAAAGTAAACAATAATTGATTTAAATTATCTTAGTCTATAATCAATAAACATACCTTTTAGGTAATAATAGGTAAATATATTAAACTAAACTATATTCCTTATTAATATTTAAAACTTAGCTACATGCCTCCATATCATAAGTACAAAACTATAGAAATAGAGGTATTATAGGTACTTATATTGGTAATATACACAAATCAATTGCACTCAAAAACGTTATAACGCAGAATTATATTGTTATGTATCTATTCTGTATAATTTGTATCATTTAAACATTTGTGTATATTTATTGTGGACATAAGCAAATGTAAATACCTTTATAATTTAAAATATTAAAGAAAACTATTAGTAATGAACGAAGAACAAATGTAGGAAGGTGAAAAAAAAGAAAAACATATTTTTTTAAAATATTGAAATATTTCACAGATTTGAAATATTTGATATTGATGACAATTTTAAACACTAGAAATAAGGTAATGAATCATAGACCTTAAACTAATAGACTGACCTTGTTTATAGAGTAGCTGAGGTACTTAGTAACCGGTCAGACATACTACAGTGGTGTACAGTATAATCACATCAGTTTTGTCATTGTATGCGTAGTACAATGTACAATAATACCACGTAAAAGTCATAAGTCACGTGTAAAAAGTGCCGTTGGGTTAGGATAGGTTACCTATTCTTCTCTACACTCGACTGTTCTACGTATACAAAAGGCTCGTCAATGTATTAATATAAGATCTATGTAAGGAATATATTTTTGAAAAGAAAGTGATAATAAAATCGGTGATAACTGATAATGATAACGAAGTCGGCCATTTTGCAACCATTCGGATTCCTTGTCGTTACTTGATGCTTGTAATTTCCGATACTTTCAACTTAATTAATATTAGGCCAAAATATTTCTCGCATAAATACTGTATGACAAAAGTAAGTTTCTTCTGATTAATTGTTTGTCTTTTAATATTCTATCTATATTATAAAAACTAAAAGATTATAGATAAAATAAACGAATATGCAAAGCCTATAGTTTCTACAGGTACAATAGGTATTTAACAATACATTTTTTATTTAAGATTATTTGCATATATAATACCATCATAGACAAATTTTATAAATTAAATTATTCAATTGTAGATATTGAACCTTCAGATTTTCATGGTACTTCCAATCCAAGTACAAGAAAACATCGCAGCAAAATGAATCCCAAAACAGTAGGAGATTTGTCACCAAGTCATTTTACTTCTGAGGAAAAGAGAAAAAAATACGTGGACATGATTAAGCAAAAATATAAGGAAAAACAAGTTGAAAATGCAAATCTAAAAAAACAGGTTAGGTATCTTGAAAGAAGGCTCATTGCTTATCAAGGTGTATTTCAGTTTTAATTGTTTAAATTTTAAACATTTTAACTGGGAAATGCATTTACCTAACTTGTGAATAAGTATTTAGCATTATTTATAAACTATACCAAATTTTATAAATATTATTGTAGGCATAAAGCGTTCAAATATTATGTTAGCATATTTAACCCCATATTTACTCCCCCCCCCAAGGCACTTACAGAATAGATACTTGAATACTCCCATACATTTAAAATTCATTGTAATTAGTATTTTATGGATTTTGATATCTTTTTAATATATTATGTTTAAAACTGTTTAAAATTTAAATTAGAATAATTTGTTCAATACTGAATGATAAAAACGTTTTAAACGTTATTTTAAGACTTTAAGTGAACTGTTTCATATTATTTGTTGTCCAACAAATTAACTATACATCCAAAGATTTAAGTAACAAATTGTGCAATAAGTAGTTGTAAGCCAATCATTTTATCTGGTTACTATCAGACTATAGACTACAGACTCTAAATTAGATATAATACAAATTAATAGTAATTGTTTAGATTATGAATTTTTTCATTGTTAAATAATAATATTTTTAGTAAAGAATTAGGATTCGTTAATTTATATGTGTTTCATGTAGATAGAAATATTAACACTATTAATTTGAATAGATGAGAATTGAGAAGCGACCATGAATGTTAATAAAAAATTATCTTCTAGATTAATTGAATACCAACAGATAATATTTAAAACATTTTTGGAGAAATTAAAACTAATGAAATTGAAAAAATCATCATTATAGCCTGTTGTATTCACCCATTTTCTCCACCTGCCATTTATATAGACTATACCAACGGTTCTAAACCTTTTTAAGAATATTATCCATAAATCAGGTTAGACATTAACAAATACCCCTCCCCCTCAACAAATAAGTTTTAAAAAAACTATTACAATTGTTGTACATATGACTGATTCAGAGTTAATAGGTATAAATTATCTAATAACTAACCAATTATTACTCAAATAATTCTCAGCTTGGTTTAGTTTTCTCTAGAACCAAGTTTTAGTTTTTTAAAAGGGTCTGAATTTAATAAACTCTAAATATATCTTAATGCACTTGCATAACATTTGGAAAGTAGAAAAATCAGTTAAATTTTAATTACATCTTTGATCATGTATTCAGCTAACTTAATTATCAAATTTGTGACTTGGACGATTTAGTAAATTTCATATTGATAGCATTTACGAAATTCCTAAAGTAATTGGAATAATTAACAGAATCTGTTGTGAATTTAAAGATACCACCTATCTTATAGTGCTGTATTGTGCCCTAGTACGCCCAATTTTCGAGTTCCATAATTTGAAATCCTAATAAAGTATACCATTTTCAGAATAAAGCCCGATTCATACTTGTCAGACACGTTACCATTCCGCAAAATATTTTAATATGTGTTTAAATATAGGTAATTCACATTTGAACGCACCGCGCCGCACATCCAGGCGACTTGTAATTGGTTATTAATAATTAGTTAGTAGAAAGATGCGCGCACACAGACGATTTTAGATCGCTGTCCGGTACGTTCTTATTCTGAAAATAGTATAGGCTTGTTAAATCAACTTCATAAATTCCAAAGATGTTCTATATGCTTAGTTATATTTAAATTAAATGTGATAAGCCAATTTATTAAAGAAGTTTCATTAAAATTAGGGTTTGAATTTTTAAAATCTAGACGCTTTTCTAATGATGTGGTTTTCGTTCATAAACTAATTAATGGTCAAATAGACTGTCTTGAATTACTTGAGCTAGTCAAATTTAGAGTCCTTAATATTTTACCGAAATCAAACACCAATTTCGTTACGTCAGTTTATACTAATAATTACTCTCAAATAGCCTTTATGTTGCCTCCTCTTTGCTAATGAAGTTAAAGACTATGATTTTTTTGATTCTTTACTACTTTTGAAAAATCATGTGAACAACTTGTTATTTAACTAATTTTAATGTTTAACTATAATATTTCATAGGAAACTGGATTTTGTTATCTATCTATCAATATATAATAATTGTACATTTATATTATACTTTACTTTATTATAATATTTATACTTAACCCTTCAGGGTGTTAATATTATATAATATTATGATTATTATTAAACTTTGGTTTCGAATGAAAAGTCTTTATTATCTAAATGTGTATAATATTAACAATTAAATATTATAATTAAATTGGTAGTTCATATAATATAATACCTAATGTAATTAAAATCCCATCTAAATCATAATACGAAAAACTTGTATAGATGTTTAGTTTCTGTGTATTAGATAAGTTTGTAACATAAATAGTGCATTTGTTCACTTACATATATTTTTTTTTTTTTTCTTAAATATACCTTAGTTTCAAACTATGAGAAGTATCAATATTAAATTGTATGAAAAATATTATATTATATCGCACGATCAATTAAGATTTAACTAAATCATGTGCACACTTTGAACATTTGTTTTTACTCTAAATATAGCAAGAAATATATTAGTTTACTATGCGTGTGTATTTGTTGTGTTTGTCAGTAAACAAGTAAACATTTACTAGACATACCTAGTAGGTATGATTTCATAAGTATTATCGGTTTTATTATTTTGAGTTATTTACAAGTATGTTTTCAAAAGTGTCAATTTTTTTTTTTCAAATTTATGTTGATTGTACATAAAATTTTTGCAACATCATATAAATCACGAACTAAGATATCTTAGCTCGTGTTATACCTCGTGTTGTACTAATAAGCCAGGGACTGAGTAGAAACAAAATTCAGGCCAGGACATTGAAATATATCTAGGCCACTCAATAAAATACGTACCAATGATATTTTCTGATTACGCTCAATTTCAGTATTTAATTTGAAGCCACAATACTAAATTTTCAATAATAATATATTATGTGTATGAAAAAAGTTATGTTAAATAATTGTATTAGTACATTTAGCTTTTAATACATACCTAGTTAAAATAATTTCAAACTCTATTAGAAATAAAATCAGTTAAAATCAACGTGATATTTAGAGTAAATGGTTTATGCATTTTAAGCACTGAGTGATGTGAATTCATTTTATTATGATGATATGTATCTATATCATACATTTCTATAAAATAATTTTCGCTTTGCATCAACTTCAAGAGTGGTTTTAGGTAGACAATTTTGTCTTATTAATGCAAATGAAAGGTCTTTTTTTTATTTACCTTAATTTTCTTAATAATGCAGGGAAAACCGAAAAAAGACCGTCAGCTTATTATTTTATAATAATAATTTATATTTTATAAATTACCCCATTTTGAGTTAGTTATACAAAAGAGTATTGTTGGTATAGCCCACTTTTATATAAATTGAATTATGATAGAAATTATAAAGATAGGGAAGTCAATCAATAAATCATCAGTGTTTTAATTTTTAATACTGTTAATCTTATTATTGTACATATACTTTCAATAACAGTACCTAATAAATACTTTTTTAAATTTCAATACCTATTACCTAGTCAAATTTTTTTCCGATTTTTCAATTGGTTTATCATTGATTTCAAACCTTTTATTTGTATATTTCTAGCCAGTCGACGCATGCCACTGTTTTTATTTTTATTTTAATTAATATTTATAGTTGTATAATATTTTAACGTTTTGTATTCAATGCCTGTTCATACATTGTATTCGAAATGATGTCTACGTTAAAAATGGTATAATATTTGAACTGTCAATCAAAATAATACAAACAAATATTTACTACATTTTTAAATAATAAGAGTAAGAATTATGTTGCCCATATAAAAGGATCAGGCCACCAGGCCATAATATAGTCAAGGCCATCTGAAAAATTACCATTTTAGGACCGGCCACTCCGCTCCTACTTATAGGCCATAAGTTATTTTAACAAAATATGGACAATCCATAGTTTAATCAGCCACGATGATTTTTTTTAAAGCATATGAAATTCAAATTTTGGCGAAACTAGTAGAATTATAAATTATTTTAAATTCAGAGCGTATAGCGAGATTATTATTTTTTATTTATTGTTTACAAAATGTCTACCAGAAATCTTGTTGTATCTAGTATAGCGCATTTTCTGAAAGTAAATTTTATCTATTTGGTACTTTAGAGTACCTAGTAATTTTTTGATTATCCAAATGGTTTTCATAATAATTGGAAAAACCGAAAACCGGGAATAAACGTAGGGATAGACGGACAAATATTTACGGATTAATGATTTCATGATCTTACATTTTTATAACTTATGTTTTCTAATAGAAATCTTACTTCAATCAAAATATAACAAGGTACCTTTTTTATAGCATTTTGGATCTAGTTGCTCAAGAAAGAAGTCATTTTTTGATTTTTTTAATATTTTCCATAGTAATTGGAGAAAACTGAGAAAATATGAAAAATGAAAACTGATAAATTTACAAAGTTATTAATTCATTATTTAAATTTTAGATTCTGAGTAGAGTAAAGAAGCTTATAGTCTTACAAAGATTTTTTTTTACACTTTTCAATCAAAGAACCTCCACAGATAATCTAACAGTACAAATGTTTGAATCTCCTTAAATTAAGAAAGAATGCAATATTTTCACTTAATATTAAATTTTCATTAATAATTATAAAATATGTGTAAATAATATTTATACTACAGTTATCTACTTTTTTAAACTACCTACTTACAGCAACTTTTTATTAATGAACTCGTATGTAGGTAATTAATATTTATTTTACATTATGGGTACCTAGTACCTGCTAATTTGTTTTTAAACAAATTGAGTTTTAAGACTTGTATGAAAACAAATTAGATATACAGTGTACAATACGGGATTTAGGAAAAAAAACAAGTAAAAAAAGGAATAGGTATATTTATTTTAAATATTATATGTTATATAAAAAGTAATATTATTGGTTAGTACCATATAATAGGTACCTACGCTATATTTCAATACCGTTGACTATATTATATATTTAATTAATGATAATATTTAAAATGTTTTCACAAAAATATTTATCGGAGCAA